TAAAATTAGAAACAGGAAAATTGGAAAATTAAGATATTTATAAATTTTCTTATATTTTATTTTAAAAAAATCAAAGTTATATCTTATAAATTAGTGAGTGTAAATTTAATTTTTTATTAAATATTTAAAAAATAAATTAATTTTATTAAATATATTTAATTTATTTTTAATAAAAATATTCTAATAGGTTATAAATTATTAATTGAAATTGAAACAGAATAAATAAAAAAAAAGTAAAATTAATAATTGACTTTCATATAAACCGGTACTGGTTTCTTAGGGATAAAAAGAATTTGGTAAGAAAATTATAAGTAGAGTACGGTTAGGGGTGCAAACGAGTCGAGTCGAGCTCGTGCCAGGGGTTAAGAAATTTTTTTTTAATGGATGAACAGAATATCAATTTCTATTGAAATCGAATAATGAGGTTTCAGTTTCAATAGAAATTGGAAACCGGATAATTAAGTTCTGATTTCTATTAAAACCGGATAATTGAAATCCGTATTTACTCCTTTTTAGATTTTTTTTGTTAACAAGTTATTTAAGCTAATTTATACTTAAAATAAGATCATTTTTATAAATTAACCTTTTTTTTTTAAGAGAGGACTTAAATTTCAAGTTATATCATTATAAAATTTTTACTTAATATTTCTGAAAAGTAAAAAAAAAAATTCTTGTATGATATTTTCTTTTGAGATAAGCCACATTTATATTTTTGTAAAACATTTAAAAATTTAACTTAATTTTTACTTGATGGGCAAACAAAAATATTGCAATGAATTATTACATATTTTAATGAGTTGTCATAAAGAGTTATAATCTTGGTGATAATTTGTATATGTCATTATTAGCCTGTTTTTAGCAGGTAATAACTAGTTATGATTAGCCTATAAGAATTGTGCATTAAGAAACTCATAATACTTACGAGTATAATCCTATGATTACGCTCCTTTGCATTTTAATGCTGAGGTATACTGGATTAGCTTAGTAAAGATGATGATAGCTAATGAGATTATTGACCTCATCATAAGAACGATATATATATATATATATAGTTGGGTCCTAGAATATTCGCGGCGGTAAAGAAATATAAACACTACCAAAAAATAGGGTTTTCGCAGCACAAATTTTGACCTATCCCGGCGGTTATAGCCGCCACTATTTTCTTTGTAGCGGTTCTAGAACCGCTACATACCTGCTGTGGTCTTCGAAACCGCTGCAACAAAACGATGCGATAGAGTCTATTTTTTGGAAGTGAAAGTTTACATTTTAGTTTTGTACGAAGATCCGGCATATATGTATACAGATAAAAGAGATGGTGCAACATTCATAATTGACACTAAGATTTTTATGTATAAAACCTTAAAAAGGAGAAAAACCACGGGGCCTAGCCTAGCTTGAATAAATCCACTAGTATTTACAGTTGATTACAAATAAGGCCTATCATTGGAGGGGAAGGCCATGACTTGATGTAACAAATATACATCATATAAAGTATGTTACATGGTGGAAACAAGATGAATCATTGTTGATATGTTCGTTTGGTCAGAAGGATCATAGTCGGTGGGCGACGGAGGTCGGTACGACTGTTATCTAGCGATAGATGTTAGAAGGACCGTAGTTGACAGGCGATAGAGATCGTAAGGATTATTGTCTAGCGACGGAGGTCAAACGGACTGTTGACAGGTGGAAGTAAGGTGTCAGGTACAAATCCGACGACATGTAAAAGTTCTGCGTCGGGTAGAAGTCCAGTGAAAGTCCGGTAACTAGCAAAAGTTCGGCGACGAGCAAAAGTTTGGCATCAGGCGGATGTTCGACGTCGGGTAGAAATCTAGCAAGGGACGGAAGTCATCCTAAATCGAGTAGAATTCCGGCGATGGATAGAAGTCCGTTGACGGGCAGAAGTCTGGCGTCGAGTAGAAATTCGGCGAAGAGCGGAAGTCTGGCGTCGGGTAGAAATCCGACGAGGGACAGAAGTCCGACGTCGGTTAAAATTTCGGCGATGGATAGAAGTCTGGCAAATGGCGGAAGTTCGATGTCAATCGGTGGCCGGGAGGTGGTCAAGGAGGAGTCTGGTAGAAAGAGAACTCTTTCTTGGGCTCCCTTCCTTCTCTTCTTGCTTTGGCATCCCCGGACACAAAAGAAAAGTTGGAAGCACGCACGCACCTAACCCATGCTCATTAGTCATTGCTCTGATTATAAAAAATAAAAATAAAAATAAAGGTTGTATTTGGCCATTCCTGTGACTACTTAAAGACCAACTATACCTTTCCTCCCTCCTCCTTTTGCCCACCCCGATACAACAAAGTCTCCTCTTCGAGGTAAGTGCCCAGCATGTAGCCTCTCCTATTGCTTGCACGTGCTGCATGTACACATTTTACTCCACACGTGTGCTCAAGCATGCACACTCACACGTGCCGCCAGTATCCGGTTCATTACAAGCTAATTAAGTAGTTATTTATCTTGTATTAGTGATAAAGAAATATTTAAAAAAGCAATGGCAAAAGAAGAAGATTTTGATTATTTAAAGATTAAAGAGACAAGGGCTCTATTTTTTTTGAATAATTAATTGGACTTAGACTCTATTTGATTTGATTGAAAGGAAAACAAATGAATTTTAATTGCACTGAGAGCTTATTTGATTGGCCTAGTGCAAGCTTAATGGAGAACATTATGGGGCCACATTAGCCATTAACTTGAAAAAAAAAATAGCTAAACCCTTACCCCCTCCTTTCAAATCATAACTTCAAAATATTTGATTAATGTATATTTCTACCGACAATGGAGAGTGTGATATTCATCTCATATTTACATTATATTCACTCAGTGTTGTTTAGCTTGCTTGGTTGACGAGTACGATTGGGAACTCCTCAACCCGTGCTCAATTCCGCTCGAACGGCAAACCCTCTTAAGTGAGGCCCAATCAAATGCGACGCCTGAGGTTTCTAAGATGGGTACCTCTTCTTGGTTAACCAAGGATTAGTTGCGCCGTCAAACGCCATTTAGCGTGTGGATACTTCATTCCAAAAAAAAATTTAAAGCAATATTAGTAAAACTCAATGATATAAACGAAAATGATAAAATAATTGAAATGATATTGCCTATAAAATCCATCCTTAGTTAAAAAGCATTGTTGGCAATGGCTGTAATCTGCCTCAGAGCATTCACCCTCATATATGCAAGATTATGGGTGTAAGTTTACATGGTGAGCTTAGGACTGCAAGCGAATCAAACGTTCGACGAGTTTCTCGTTGTTCGGTTCGATTAAAGCTCGTTTGTGATCGTTTATCTAACTAAACAAACAAATTTGAAGCTCGTGAGGTGTGGACCTTAATTTTCTCTAATACTCGATCATTAAATAAACAAGCTTAAACACTAATGTGTTCGGTTCATTTATGTTCACGAACAACATTATTTGAAGCTCGTGAACATGCTCGACATTAAGCTCGATATATGTTCGATTCAGAACTTGTGAATAAGCTCGATAAAAACTCGATTAATATTTAATTATAAAATTGATAAATATACATAATATAAATATCTTAATTTATCATAATATAATGATACAATTATTCTTAATTAATAAATTTTTAAAGTAATTAAATATTATAATATATGTTGTAGTTTTAATTTCCTTACAATTGCTAATTTATTATATTACATTGTTATATCTTGCTCATTTGAGCTCAAGAATACTCGGTAGATTTGTTAATGAACATACTTCTTTTATAGTTTAAAAAAAAATCTCTAAATATGTTCAAGAACAGAACTCGTCAAAGCTCGATAAGCACTAAACGAATCAAACATGAACATCATTAATTTAAATGAACCAAATATGAACCCAAACAATAAAACTCATGTCAAACACAAACCGAACTTAAACAAGTTAATAATAAACAAACTCAAACATGAGCACTCACATACTCAGTTCGGTTCATTTGCAGCCCTAGATGAACTTGTTCCATCTTATGTGATGATAATAACCTAAGCTTACCTTATGCTAATGACATGAAAGCTTTAGATTGTACCTTACTAGGTGATAATTGGGCATAGTCAAGAATTGTAGAGGAGAAGAATCATCAACACTATTTTTCATTACATTCAGCCCTCATTTTTGTAACAAAAGGTTATATTTCTTTTCCGTGTTATAATCTCTCTATCTTTCTTTTAAAACTTAATAAAATATTTGATCTCTATGTGATCATAGACATAGGTGAATCTTGCCAAATCACGTAAGCTTACATGCTCAACTTGAGATCTTTGGTTCGACTATTCTATCATCCTCGTTTAATCTTTTTTTTGTAAGTTTTATCATAATCCTAACATCTTGTTAGTAAAGTTTTGTTTGGGACGACTTTCTTAATGCTTCTTAAAATAACTTTATAGTACAAAAATTTTATTTTTTTGTACTAAAAAGCTCTTTTAAGAAGCAATAAGAAAACCATCACAAACGAAACCCAATCTCCAATCTTCCACCGAGAACAATTGACCCTTTTTTATCACTCTTCTCTTCTTTCCACAAATAAAAATTTAATCTTTTTGAAAGCTTGAAGCACAAAAACCACCAATTTAGTTGTCCAACATTTAAACTAACCTTCAACCATCAATTTCACCTAAGTACCCACCAAGAATTTAATCATGCACCTATTTTTTTCATGAGCAGTGCTTACCCATACATATTCAACATAGATCAACATCATAACAAATATAATAATGTTTGCAACTATAAATTCAGCATAGTTCAACATCAAAACATATATAATATTTCTTTCAAACACAACAATTCAATAATTAAAAAAAAAAAACTATCCGCCATTGCTTTTGATTAGTGGACGAGTACAGTTGGGAACCCCCGAATCCGTGCTCAATTCCCCTAGAGCGACAACGCCTCTTAAGTATGGCTCAATCAAGTACGAACCAAGAGGTTTCTGGGGTGAGTGTCTCTTCTAGGTCAGCCGAGGATTAGTCACGCTGCCAAACGCCTTTTCGGAGATGATAGCGGATGACGACGGGTGAATACCCCGCTAAAAAAAAAACACTTATCACATGAATTGATCTGACTTCAAAGACACACCACCTCAATGGATGTTGATCGATGTTAAATGCCTGATGTAAGAGAGAAACAATCATTAGCAATTAATAGGATTGACAGCAAAATCCAATCATCATTTGCAACATTTTTGTGATGTATTATAGTCTAGTTTATTTATTTGTGGCTTGATAAAGGGAAAAAGAGGAGAAATTATTCTATAATTGTTCTATATTTGGTTGGTTTTTAGATAGGCTCAGTGGTGTCACTTCAACATCAAACTCAGTTAGTGCTTTACAAACGCTGTGACTGCTGCTGATGGAATTTATAGCAGTATCCCCCTGAACTCTTTCTTGAGGGAAATTATTCGGAGCGGCCACCTGACGTCCGGAGGCGATTCAAGATGCGCCATATTATTCGGTACATAGTGGTATATACCATCGATGCACAACAAAAAAATGATGTGACGCACCCCGATTTTGATGGAATTTATAGCAGTATCCCCCTGAACTCTTTCTGGAGGGAAATTATTCGGAGCGGCCACCTAACGTCCGGACCGTCCGGACGCGATTCAAGATGCGCCACATTATTCAGTACATAGCGGTATATACCATCGATGCACAACAAAAAAATGATGTGACGCACCCTGATTCGTCTCTAGATAGCGTCCGGTGACCAATAACACCTACATCAAGCCTTTGTCCCACTAAGTAGGGGGCGTCCGGTGACCACAGAATAATTTATCCTTTCTTGATGATATAAATGGAAGGATAACAATATGTCATGCTCTAGAACTAATTTAAACTACAGGATAATTGTGAACAAAATTATAAATATAGCTCTACAAGTCTACAATCTTCATTTTTTGGATGGTGAATAGTAAGTCACCGAATCATATAGACCATTAATTCTAATTTATCATGAGCTGAATATGACACAGGCAAAAAAAAAAGGTAATGATCATAAGAAATTTTACTTTAACTCATCAATAAGCTATTATTCAACTTGAGCAAGCTGAGTTGTAAACAACTAACAGAAGATATATAAATTAAAAAATATATATACAAGGATTAAACATGGACAAGACCAATGACAAAGCAAGGCATTATCATGTTCCCTAGAGGCATTATCATGTTCCCTAGCGGAAAAAAACAAATGATTTAAAGCTGACGAATAAGTGAAAAGGAATAGTGCAATCAAACTATCAAACTTTCTCATAATATTGCCAATTATTTGGTATATCTCCACACTCACCTCCTCCCTCCCATCTCACTTTCTGCGCCTAAGAAAGATCAGTAATCCAGGATCAGGTCATGGTAAGTTAAATGGTTTACCATCAGAAAGCATCAAGCCCCCAGAGGTAGATTATAAGAATAGAAGATTATAACAATTAATAAATAATAGTGATACAGTTTCATTCAATCTCTTCCCATCTTGCTTGCCCATTTTTCCTTTCTCTGCAGTCAAGCACCATTATTTGGAATGAAAAGGCAGGGACTACAAATCAGTGAATTTTTCAACTGAAATGTGCTAACTACGATATTCTTCTGGTTGATAAGACTAGAGAGGGAGTTGAAGATAAACTTGAATTATGGAGGTCAACCTTAGAGTCTAAAGGTTTTCGCTTGAGTAGATCTAAAACGGAATATATGGAGTGTAATTTTAGTAGTAATAGACTTAGTGAGGGGATTGTGACTTTGGGCGATCAAGTCATTAATAAGAGTACATGTTTTAGATATCTTGGATCTATTGTTCAGAGTGATGGTGAAATAGATGGGGATATTATCAGCAGAATTCAAGTTGGATGGTTGAAGTGGAGGAATGCATCGGGCTTGTTATGTGATAGAAATGTACCCCTCAAACTTAAGGGAAAATTCTATAAGATGGTAGTGAGGCCTGCAATGCTTTATGGTGTCGAATGTTGGCCATTAAAAGAGAATCATAATACTAAGTTAAGTGTGGCAGAAATGAGGATGCTCAGGTGGATGAGTGGCTTTACCCTTAGAGATAGGATACGAAATGAGCATATAAGTGAAAAGGTTGGATTAGCTCCAGTAGAAGATAAGATTAGAGAGAGTCGCCTTAGATGGTTTGGTCACATAAAACGGCAGCCTTCTGATGACCCGGTTAGGAGAGTAGAGGTATTAGATTTGACTTATGTTAAGAAAGGTATGGGTAGACCTAAAAAGACTTGGTTAGAAAATATTAGGAATGACCTTTCTTTATTAGATTTAAACGAGAATTTGACTTTTAAAAGGACACAATGGAGAAAAATGATTCATGTAGCCGACCCCACGTAGTGGGATAAAGGCTTGATATTGTTGTAAATGTGCTAACTATGATGCCATCAAGAAGACTAAACAAATGAATGAAGTGAACTTAATTTGCTGATGGTTTTCCATGACAGAGTATAGGAGAAAAGGTGTGTGTCCATAAATCAAGCAAGCACAAGGTTTTGTCCACTTTTTCCAGATGATTATCTAGTTTGTAAAGATTGGAAGGGGGCCATAAAACCAAAGTTCTAAGTTTGTATGTTAAGGCTTCGTTTGGGATGACATTCTTATTGCTTCTTAAAGCGACTTTTTAGTTTAAAAATTAAAATTTTAATACTTGAAAGCTATTTTAAGAAGCAGTAAAAAAACCGTCCCATACGAAACCTAAATCAGTTTAATGGACCACCCTGCATACACAACTTCATATCTTTTAAAATTGTAAGCTTAAGCATAAATGGACAGAACATCTTGATATGATTATTTTTAGCTTTTCTTAGGTCAAAGAAGATGGTAAAGAATGGTGCAATAAAGGAAATAAAATTAAGAAGTTTTGAACCTTTGCAATGCATACCAGGGAGGTTAAAAAAAGAAAGGAACCTGAAAACACTCAGAAAGTTTAATAAGCCTTGCCCCTTGCAGCATTCATCATATTAATATGACCGAATGTGATAAAATGAAATATTTTGAGAAACAATCTTCTTACAGCATTAATTGATATGATAAAAGGTATGTGGCTGAGATATGTGAAACAAATGAATGAACATCATCATCAGTAGCCTTATACCAAACCTAGATAAGAAAGGCTAAGAGTCATCCATAAAATTTATGCCAAATTACTGAAATGAACACCATCATTAGCCTTAGAACAACCATTTGGGTTCACCTTTATTGGTCCTCACTCCCCATTTGATCTTCTTGGCATTGCAATAGATGTCAAATCTATTTGCACAATTTTTGTCCATATTAATTTGGTCTAATATTTTTCTTTCCTATTCCTTTGACATCAATTTTCTCTAGCCAAAATTTCTATCCATCAAGAATTATCAGCTTTGGTGGCCTAGTAGGCCTCATGATTTTATCATTTTTGGTGCAACTTCCTACAAAGATTATCTATCCTAAGAGTGCTCCAATATGGGCATAGTAAGTTTGAAGTTCTTGACAAGACACTAAAGTTATACCAAAAGGCACCTCAAAGAGAAAATTTATTGAAAAAAAAAATTCCAAATTCCTAGAAATCCTCCAAAAATTATGGTTTGTTTCAAATAACTCTTGAATTTAAATTCAAGAGATAATCTAAATCCTAAGCTCATTCTCAAAATTGTAAATTATTATAGCCACCCAAAATTAAATACACACTTTCTCTGCTCAATCCACTCTCTATCTGCTACCCCACTTTTTCTACATAAATGAATGCCCCTCCCCCTTTTTATGTTTCTCCATACTCGAGAAAACCCAACAAACCAACCCACCTTTCTATCCCTCTTCGCAAATCCCAAATTCTGTCTTCTCAATTTCCAATTCCTCCACACCCTAAACCAAAAGCTAAGGAAACCACTATTTGAGAGCATCTGATTAGCTCAAATTCCTTGATAACTATGCTTGAGACACCTTGAGGACCTAAGATGAACTGAAGACTTTTTATCTTAAGTTATATACAGTTTGAGGTTTGATTATTCTCCATTAAAGATTCCACTTATTGAAATATTAAATCTTAATGTATATTATTTGGAAAAAAAAGCTATATTGCATGGCATCAAAAAGTTGGCTCCATATTTAGATAAAACCAACAATTTTCCATGCAAAACTCTCCTACCCAGCTAGTCAACTACATAATCAGCCTTGCTAATTAATGCATGATCTTAATTAGAGACTTTTTAATTAATGGATGGTATGTATGTCTTGAGATGAAAATTGGGTTAAATTTCAAAATAGTCCCCCAACTATTCGGATATAATGATTTTAGTCCCAAAGTATAACGTTGATTTAATTTAGTCCATTGACCATACAAAATTGATCTAAAATATATAAGCATATCGTCAACGTATATGAAAATAGACATTTGAGTGGTGGCATGAGAATATATAAGCAATGATGGGTCGGACTTACTGAATATAAAGCCGACATCTAGAAGAAAAGATGTGAGTTTGTTATATCATTGCCTTGGAGCCTATTTCAGTCCATAGATGGCTTTGTGGAGTTTACAGACATGGTTTGGAAGCTGTGAATCTACAAATCCTAGTGGTTTCCGCATGTAAGCATCCACTTTGAGATCAGCCGTGAATGAAGGCGTTTGAGACGTCGAGCCGAAGAACTGGCCAGCTTCTGTGAATGAGCAGAATTCGAATAGTGTGAAGTTTTGCAATTGGGCTGAAGGTTTCTCTATAATCAATGCCATACTCTTGGTCGAACCCTTTAGCAATCAAATGGGCTTTATATTATTCTATATGATCGTTCGGCTTTAGATTGGTTTTATATGTCCAACTACAGCCAAGAATGGATTGGTTAGGTGGAGGTGGAACTAATGACCAGGTACCCTGTTTCTGAAGAGCATGGAATTCAGCGGACATGGCAGAGTGCCAAGATGGGTGTTTGTTGGCCTGAGTGAGGCATGCAGGTGTTGATTGATCTTGAGGAATGGCTAAAAGATCGAATATGGGTTTGGGTTTGATGTGACCGTCTTGAATTTAGTTTGCATTGGTTGAGTGGGTATATGGGTTGGCTGATTAGTGGAGGAAGTGGATGGGTTTGGTGTAGTGGATGGAGGGGTTCTGAATGGTGGATATAGGAATAAGAGTGAGTGGCAATAGGTTGGGGCTAATTGCAGATGTGCTGGATGTGGTAGTGGTGAGTTGAGAAGGGAAGGTTTGTTCATGAAAAATCACAAGTCTTGAGATGTGAGTTTTGTTTGTTTGGGGATCGAAGCAACGACAACCTTTGTGTGAGATGGAATATCTGAGGAATAAGCACTCCTGGGATCTGGGAGTAAGTTTGTTGGGGGTCTAATGTTTGAGCCACGGGAAACGCAGACATCCAAATGTTCTTAGATATGTATAGGAGAGTGGATGGCCATGTAGAAGTTGGAAAGGAATAAGAAGATTGCATGCTTTGGTTGGTAGTCTATTGATGAGGTAGTTTGATACTTTGATGTGAGCAGTGCATCGGCCCAGAAGTGGAGGGGGAGATGAGCAGCATGCAAGAGGGTACGAGTTGTGTCTGTGTTCCCTTTCTGCGAGGCCATTTTGTTCAAGTTTGTATGGACAGCTTAGTTGGTGAAGTATTCCGCGGAGAGAAATTTCTTAAAGTTATGACTTGTGTATTCTCCACCCCCATCAGAACCAAGAATTTTGATTTTGGAGTTGAATTGAGTTTCTGTCATATGTAAAAATTGCTGAAATTTTGAGAGAGTTTCATTTTTTGGTATTCATTAAGAAGAACCAGCAAAATCTTGAGTAGTCACTAGTCGCCAATAAAGGTGACATAGTATCTATAGGCATTAAGAGATGAAACCGGTGTCGGTCCCCAAACAACAGAATGTATGAGAGTTTAAGGTGTCTTAACATGATTTGAACTTGAAAGAAATGGTAATTTATGGCTTTTAACCATGTTACAGGATTGCATAAGATTGGAAAATAAGAAATACATAGGGAATGATCTAATTTAGCTATAGTATGCAGAATAAGTTGATGAGGATGACTAAGACGGGCGTGCCATTGTGAAGTAGTTGATAGGCACGAGCAGAGAGTGAGTGAGGAGGAGGGCTGATGCATTCAATATCTTTCTGTATATGTTTTATGATTCAAATGTTTTTAAATTTATATTTTGGTCTTATGTAATTTGAAATTTATGTTTTATTTTGTTTACCCTATGACGGAAGACAACTTATGAACATGTTTAGGATTGGTGCTCTTAGGACATTTCACTCTTTTGGTTTGTTAGCTTTCTTTGGTTTTTGGGCATTTGTTGTTGGGCTGAAATTCTCCTAATGGGCTTGGCCCATTTTTTCTTGGCTGCTTGGTGTTTTGTTATTTCAGCTGATGGATTTTTTCTCATGCTTTTGGTTGTTTGTCTTCTGGCTATTTGGTTCCTGGGCTGGCCTTGCCTCTCTCTTGGGTATTTTCCATGCTTTTGACTATTTGTCTTCTAGTTGTTTGGTTCCTGAGCTGGCCATGCCTCTCTCTTGGGTATTTCCCATACTTTGGCTGTTTTTCTTCTAGTTGTTTGGTTCCTGGGCTGGCCATGCTTCTCTCTTAGGATTTCTCATGCTTTGGCAATTTATTTTCTGGCTGTTTGGTTCCTGGGTTGGTTGTGCCTCTTTCTTGGTGATTTTCCCTAAATTCTGGTCGCTCCTATTGGAGGTTTGGGCGGCACCTTTTAGGGGGTTGTTTGGATTCATTTTCCCTATTTATAGGGGGTTGATTGCTGCTGTTTGGAGGTGATATTGAATCTGAAATTGCTTCTAAACTTGAGGATTTTCTCTTCCTAGCTTGAGAGCTACTTATTTCCCTCATATTTCTTCTTCTAGTCTTCTGCCTATTTCTTCTCTCCACAAGTACCTTTTCATTGTATCTTTCCTCTCTACACAAAGTGTGAGTGGTGTTGTTGGCCGATTTGTTGGTATTTGTCAGAGGAGTGCCAACGGGTGTTGGAACAATATTGCTGTAGTGAACCCCCACCCCCCGGTTTGAATGTTCTTTAGAGCACCTAAATTTTTCTAATTTTATCGATACATGTGAGGAGACCTTTAAGGTTGTTCTGAGGGTAGTGTTCTTTTAATTTTGTTTTTTTCTTTCTAAGTCCTTTTTTATGTTTCTTACACCTGTTTGTTTCTTTGTCGGTGGTTTATTTACTTTTTTTATTGAGTTCTGTTCCGTTTGTCCTTTGTGTTCTCCTTCTTTGATTTTTAGATCTTAGATCCCATCAAGGGCTGATTGGTGGAGACTAGATAGAGATCTTCACGACTCCGACCACATAGAAGAGTTTGATTGTCCAGGAGGTCCTTGATGATGAAACCGGAGGAGTTAAATGAAATGGAACAATTGTTGTCAGAAGTGAGTTTATGTATGGAAAGAAGATCATATGATAAGTATGGAACGTGAAGGAGATTGCGAAGAAATAGCTTACGGTTGGATTCGGGAAGAGGAAGGATAATGTGGCCACTATGTTGGATGGGGAGGGTGTCGTTGTTTGCTATTGAGATGGAGTCCGCACCATAATAGGGATGAGGTTGCTGGAGATTAGTAGCATCCGTTGTGAGGTGAGTTGAGGCACCGAAATCAAGCATCCATTCGGTTGGGGAGCTGAGCTGAGTTGCTGATGAGTGAGCATAGCCCGAGGTGTTCCATGAGTGTAATTGAGGTTGCATCTGTGCCAATAGGTAATTGTGGTATGACCAATTTTGTTGCAGACTTGACAAGTTGGTTTCGTTGAAAGAAACAGAGAGGATCCACGAACAATAGGGAATGAAGGTCTGGTGGAGTAGCCGCGACCTCGAGTGGGACGAGGGAACTGAGACGGAGCGTTGTGGCCTCTGTTGGATATGACATTGGATGAATAGAATGCAACATTATCCTTGGGGGCTGAGGCATCCTTGAGTAGTTCATTTTGAATATTCATCTCCTCGATGCAAAGCAGAGAATAGAGAACGTCCAGGTTGATTGGGGTGAGGGAGATGTGAATGGCTATTTTGAAGGCAGTGTATGCGGATGGGAGACCATTCAAAATATGAAGGATGATTTCTTCAGCATCAACCTTGGATCCAGTGACAACAATGTTATCAACGAGGGCTTTGATTTTGCATTGTATTGTCTCTCATCTGTATATTGTGTTGTTTGTTTTTGAGTTGGATGACTCTGGAACGATTAGTAGTTTGTAGCCGATTCTCTAGAGTAGCCCAGATCTCATGGGCTGTGGTTAAAGTGATTATGTATAGTAGAATAGTTGGCGAAATGGTTGAGAAAAGGGCAGAGACCAGATTCTAGTCGATGAGGTGCCAAAGAAGATAGTCTGAGGTGGATGCGGTGGAGGATGGGGTTGGTTCAAGTGATCGCACTTATGTGCCAGTTAGGTAACCTTCGAAGCCGTTGGTAGCAAAGAGTTTGAAGATTTGTAGCCTCCAAATTGAATAGTTCTCGTTATTGAACTGGATGTTGACGATGAGCTTGATATTGGACATAAGAAACTTCAAGGGTGAGGGTATGGTGACCTCTGCCGTGGTGGTGGAAAGGGATGAGTTGGATTGAGAACTCGAGAGATCTTGCTCTGCCATCGAAAAACTGAGTAAAGAATGCCGGGCTGTGGAGCCTAGTGCTCTGATACCATGTGAGAAAACAGAGAAAACAGAGAAAACGAGAAGGGCTGTTACGGGAAATTAAAAGCAAAGAAAGTAAATGGAGAGCAAGAGCCTGAGAGAAGAATTTATTTCAACTCATTTTTCATTAACAGCTACTGATTACACTGCATAGTATATATAGAAGAAAGGCAATAAATCAGTTGTGATTTTCTGTCCAGGCCGTAGCAGAGAGCGTGGGCTGCAGTAGTGTTAGACTGCTGTGGCCGTTTAGTTGAGTGTGGTAATTACAAAGAAATAAAAACGATGAAAGGTTTTCCCAATCAAACACCATTATACCAGACAATAAGTCATTTGCATTTGGCCGTCTAATGTGACAACCAAGCTGTTCATATCCTACCAGGTAAAATGGTTTGTTACTGCAACAACTTGAAAAATCCACCTAAACCCTAAGCGTTAAGACAAACGAGAAAACTAGTAATGCGTCATGCAAGCTATGCAGATAAACCTGAAGAACGATAGTGCTAGGTTCCGAGCCCGCTACTCATTAAAAGAATAAAACCTATTCCTTGCTCTATGATCAGGACTATACCGCCCCGACGGTTCAATGCGTCAATGAAGTCAGCGAAGAATGGCCTTTCCGACCGGTTGTCGTGGCCGGGACAACTGGTAAGGCTCCCCTTCGGAGAGAATAGGCGGTTGGAAAGGTTCGCTCGGCCGCTCCTGTTCGCCCCGCCGCACCATCTCGTAGAAATAAAATAGGGCATATCATAAATTGTGATTTGAGCAAAAATAACTAAATATTTTCATCAAAATTTTATAAATATATCTTCACTTCACACATAAAAAGGTGATAATATAGGGAAAGAGTTCTTATATTTGAATAATCATGAAACTTTTTTCCATTGATCAGCATCAATGATCATTCTCGACAATCATTGTCTTTTGCTCGGTGCTGATCAACATCATGACTGTCGACATCCACGTCGTCACATGATCGACATCAGATATTCGTCATCATTTTTCAACAAACAACACTTATATTGACAATCACATGACTATCATAGTCGCCATTAGCTTACGCAAATGACTATCAGCACTTGATCGCTTTCATCAACTATTAACTAACATTGACGCCTGTCATTTATCTCTTTTTCTCCATCATTTTCAACAATTTTAATATAAGTTCGAGCTCGCAATTAATCTTGATGTTGTGATCTTAATTTCTCTACTCCAAGTGAAATGGCAAACTTTTGCAATCTTTGCCTTACACAGTGGATTATTTCAGTTGGATTTGGCCTCCTGATTTTTTTTCTATAAGATTTTGAAAGTAAAAAACGCTTGTACCTTGTTTGGGCTTCATTTATCCTTCAGTGTGTAAAATTTTGTGCAAGACTGAGATAAAAAATGTATATTATATTGTCATAATTTTTAAGGCACCTAACAACTATATCATTAATTATGACAATGATACTTAGATCATTTTGATATTATATTTCTATTAAACATTCAAAAAAAATTAATATGATAAAATGAAAGATAATATTATAATGATATTAAATTTAGACTTTGTATGGAATAGCTTTATTACAGTTTCTTAAAACAGTTTTCAAGTACAAAAATTAAAATTGTTATATTGAAAAGCTATTTTAAGAAGCAGTGAGAAAGTTGTCCCAAACAAAGCCTTAATCTAGGGACTGAGGCTTCATTTGGGACGGCTTTCTTCTTGCTTTTTAAAATAGTTTCTAGTACAAAAATTACTTGAATTTGAAATTTTTATACTAAAACCCCGTTTTAAAAAACAGTATAAAAGTTGTCCCAAAGGAAACCTAAAATGATCGCACTCCTAATATTGTTGATAGGTACAAAGAATCATCCAACTTTCATGGTGATGTTAGCACTGATGTATGGATGAAAGTTTTTGGTGGATCTTAAAAAGGCCAAGCAAAGGAACAATTATTATGTCCTCCGACCGGATGCAGAGGGCCAAGAAATTCAGTACACTTCGGTATAGGCGGCATTTTGCCTACGACCGAATGTTCATCTGCATCTTTACACCGGACCAAATAAAAGTTCCAAGCAAAGAAAGACATAATTAGTGAAATAAACAATTGAATACCAAAGAAAAAAAGGCACCAAATGTATATTCCATGAGCCCGCTCATATTAGCCTCTCTAACATATTCATTTTTACCAAGTTATTGTAATCTGCTACAAATTCGTATAATTTTTTTAAATCAAATTATTTATTAATCTCCTCCATGGAACTGAACTAGGAGCTGAAGGAGTGGGCTAGATGGATGTAGAGAAAGTAATTTTTTAATGATATGTTTGTGTTAATTTCTAGCAGCTTTATTTTTTAGATAACAATCATAATTTTGTTTGATTAATGCTTTCTCGTTGATTTTCAATAATATCTATGATGAAAAGTTGATTTTTCCAATTAGTGGCTAAGGCTTCGTTTGGGACAATTTTTTTACTGCTTCTTAAAGCATTTTTTTTTTTTTTTTTTTAACTTTATAAAAACATTGTAGTCATTCCAAAGAAGCTTCATTATAAAAGTTAAAAAAAAATTTTTTTTTTTTTTTTTGTGCTAAAAATGACTTTAAGAGGCAGTAAGAAAATCGTCCCAACTAAGCCTTAAGTTTCGTTTGGGGCAACTTTCGTACTGTTTTATAAAACAAAGTTTTAGTAGAATTTTTTTTTAAAAAAATTGTATTCCATGAGCCCGCTCATATTAGCCTCTCTAACATATTCATTTTTACCAAGTTATTGTAATCTGCTACAAATTCGTATAATTTTTTTAAATCAAATTATTTATTAATCTCCTCCATGGATCTGAACAGTTTTTTAATTTTTTTTTTTGTGCTAAAAATTGTTTTAAAAGGCAGTAAAAAAATCGTCCCAAACTAAGCCTTAAGTTTCGTTTGGGACAACTTTCGTACTGTATTATAAAACAAAGTTTTAGTACAAATTTAAAAAAAAAAAAATTGTATTAAAACTCTTGTTTTATAAATCAGTAAGAAAGCTAATTCAAACGAAGCCTTAGATTATTTTCTCAAGGCAACTTCACAACCAACTTTATAAAAACATTGTAGTCATTCCAAAGAAGCTTCATTATAAAAGTTAAAAAAAAATTATAATATTTTTTTTTTTGAAAGCAGCGAAAAGCATTGACAAATAGAAATTATGTTTGTGATCGAAAAAATAAAATAGAAAGAATGCAGTCGCAAACGAAGCTTAAATCAAATATTTTTTTAATTAATTAGCTACATAAATATCAAGTTAGTTATCAATGTGGAGTTCTTTTATCACTTAATAGTGAAATCTCTATTAATTTGATTGATTAGGAACCTTTTTCTAGATAAACTTTCAAGTTTTGCTTTCAAATAAAATTATTTATACCAAGCACCATGTTCAAGGTTTGGTGGCCGACCTATCAATTAGACCGGGTTTTTTTTTCAATTTTTTGACCGGTTTAGTGGACTTGGTGGCCACACTCCCCTTAAGTGGACGTCATTTTTCAAAATTGGGTTCTTTAGTAGGTAAAGGTTTAAGTAGATTTATAACACGTGCAATAAAAGTAAAACTAAATATTTGATCTCCCTATGGTCAATCAATAGCATTTAGTTGAATGTTACTTTTGAAAGCACATTAAGGCTTCATTTGGGACGGCTTTTTTACGGAGTTTTAAAACTCTGTTTTAAGAAGCAATAAAAAAACCGTCCCAAACGAAGCCTAAGACTGCTTGTCATTGGTTGATTTGCCCAAATAATATTCTTTATAAGTAATAAATATTGATGTAACAAAAAATGATTAAATATGGAGTTTGATAAATATTTTAAAGTATTTGCGTATTTGACTTTGAAGTTGTGAGAATTGATTTTGAGATCATTTAAATCTTATTTTTCTACAAACTTATTATTGAGATAATAAGATTTGATGAGAGAAGTCTAATGGTTTTTTAAATGCTTGAATATGAGGCTAATTGGTTGTATGCCTCATTCCTATTAGAAAAATGACTGAGTTGATGGTTGATTGTTGCTTAACTCCTAACATTTATCATCGATTATCATTTGATATTCACTATTTTTTAGAGTGATGGTGAAATAGATGGGAATATTATTAGTAGAATTCAAGTTGGATGGATGAAGTGGATGAATGCATCGAGCTTATTGTGTGACAGAAAAGTACCACTCAAACTTAAGGGAAAATTCAATAAGATGTTGGATAGATCTACAATGCTTTATGGCGCAGAATGTTGGCCATTCAAAGAGAAGCATAATATTAAGTTAAGTGTTGCAGAGATGAGAATGCTCACGTAGATTTAACTTATGTTAAGAAAGATAGAGGTAGACCTAAAAAGACTTGGCTAGAAAATATTAGAAATAACCTTTCTTTATTACATATAAATGATAATTTGACTCATAATTGGACACAATGGAGAAAAAGGATTCATGTAGCCGACTTCACGTATGATGTTGTTGTATCATTTGATATTCATTGACAACGAAAATATATCATTTATTAATTTCTAATAATTATCTTCAGAGTCTCTTGATCATTAACTCAGTTGGTGCACGGAATTTTTTGGTGGCGGTAAAATAATAAACTTACGTTTACCAACGAATATATTCTAGCACATAATAATTTGACATCAAATGTAGGAAGCAAATGAAGAGTGTAGAAGAAAATGCTTATTACAACTTAAAAGGACATCCATATTAACACCTCAGGCATGATTATAATCATATAACTTCTCTATTCCATCTACTAACGTATTAATGCAACCCCACTTCGTCCAAATTAGTATACAAATTTTCAATGATTTTTTTGTTTGTATTGTTAGAGTTTGCTCGAAGTCTTATTTAGATTGTAGTTTTAAGTGGATGTCATAATATTTTTTTATGAGTAGTTATAAGAGTGGCTATAGTAGAAATGGATATTGAGCAAATTACTAATTTTTTAGACTTCCTGAATTCTATAAGAAAGCTCTAAGAGAATGTTATATTTTTATATAATGCCTACGTGGGTACATAATAATAATAATAATAATATCTTGGAAGATGAGTTGGTTTAGAAGACCCATTGGGTACCTAATGTTAGCATCATTTTTTATCCAACCATCCCAAATTATCTTTCTATCTATAAATGTGCATCTACATATCAAATGCATCTAATTAGTCAAGACATTGCCCCCTCTTAATTTGAGTAGGTATGAAATGCACATAGTTTGGAGAAAGGCATTCAAATCAAAATCAAACACATGCACTTAATCAATCTTCATGCAAACAACATCATTATAGTTTGATTAAAAAGACTTTAGTTTGGTTGTGGTTTAATTAGTAGGTTGTGGTTTAATTAGTATCAAATGATCTAATTAGAATCTAACATAATTATAAGCTAAGCCCAAATGACTATTAAATTGGAAGTACTCAAACAAACCCAACATTAGCCAATGCATCAGTCTTTTGCCCCCCTCAAAGAAATGGTATATTTATGTGCTCTTAATAATAGCTCATGGCAGTATAATTTTTAACAAGAAAAAAGTTATGACCATAATTAGGGAAAGGGGATTGATTTGGGATGGAATTATGAGAGCTTATTTAATGCTAATAATAAGGTGATTACATAATTATATTTTGGAGTTTGCTGGATTTAACCTATTCTTAGATTATTTGGGCTCTAGCCAGCAGCTACAGATTTGGGAGAGGCGGATCTTCCTCTCCAATTGAAGATCCAATTGTATCTTCCATTTCTCTTTATAGTTCTTTCAATAAAAATTATTTTGAGGCGTTCTTCTTCCCGAATTTTCATATCTCATCCGTTAATTTTTATGAAAAATGCATTTACTTCCTATCAACTTACCAAGCAAACTTCTCATCTTTTGAATAAAAATATCAAGATAATTGTATCATCCATTAAGAGAAAAGGATGATCAATGCCTAGGAGTTGATTACTCACATTGTTTCCACATTTATGTAAGTTTAAATAATACTGAAATCAACCCCTCAAAATTTGAAAAAACTCTTCTATGAATTTTTTCTTCATTATACTCACTGTAATTATATATACTATGAAGATATTTTTCTTCATGGATAAATTCAAATTCATAGCTGGAAATGGCTGTTCATTTTAATTATTGTCCTAATTGAATTTCATTATAGTAAACATAGGATCACAGCTTCACATTTGAGCCAAGCCTCAACCTCTAAATAAGACAAAAAAGAAATGCCAGATGGATATAAAATTGATGCGTGAGAGTGACAGAATTAGAAGTATCTTTAATGGTTTCTTATATTTAGCTCTATCTTTTAGCAATACAATTTCTTATTAAATTCTTTTCCAACGATTTGCTTATGAAAGCTCAGCCCTTTTGCCCAACCAGAAACATCCATAGTGTTAATGGCAATGCCGTATGCCATTGATCATCCTGATTCATTGTATGCATAGTTTTAAACGTCACTTTAAAGAAAAAAAAAATGGAGTTTTTGACTGTTCCTTCTCTTTCTCTCTGTAAATAGGAAGAACGCGCAGCAATATTTTATCACCATTTTACTGTTTCCTTCATCTAGAAACCTTTACTATATTAAATCCAAACGCTGTCATCTTCGAAGAAAGGAGAGGTCTTTCAAGATTTTATTTTATTTGGCGTTCATTTTTACAGCTACATTCCTTTCTTGATTGCTTGAATTTTCATCATGTGCGGGGGAGCGTTGATTTCCGACTTCATCCCGTCGGCGAGGCAGCGGCGAGCGACCGGCGACTATCTATGGGCGGATCAGGGAAAGAAGAAGAAAAAGAGAAATGGTGGCCGGAAGATTAGTGAGGCGGAGTTCGACGATGACTTCGAAGCTGATTTCCGGGAGTTCAAGGACGAGGAGGGGGTGGACGAACTGGAGGAGTTTACTTCCGTCGAGCCCTACGCTTTCCGTCCAAAGCCGGCAACTTTATCACGAGGTGAGCACGGGAATGAGGAGAATTTTAGAAATAAAGTTCTTCATCTTTGATTATGCTTTCTTTTGGACTACTTTTTTTTTCTTTGAGATGATTTTTATTTGAGGATTACGGTGGAAGTTAGACGCAAATGATCTTTAGGACTTGGTTGATTGCTTGCAGATAGAGATTATTTGCCTACTTTATGCATCATTTTTTGTTCAATTGTTGCTGTATTTTTCCTTACAAATTAAGGACGAGGAACTTTCTGATGATGGTAGAAGAAAATTGAGAAGTTCCATATTTTTCCACCACTCTGTGTTCCAAATGCTCTTATTCACTAATCCATTTCATCAAAGAAATCTTAATAGAATAAACTTCGTCATAGATGAACTGCAATTAAGCCATCAATCACGAAAAATGAATACTGATTTGCTAACAATTACTCCTTAACTACGATTGTGTTCATTTTTTTTTTTTCTTGTTGTTTCCTGTGTAGTAGAGGATTCAGCTGTTCTGAAACGCTCTGAATTTGATGGAGATTCTGATAAATCATCCAAAAGGAAGAGGAAGAACCAGTTCAGAGGAATCCGTCAACGTCCATGGGGCAAATGGGCAGCTGAGATTAGAGATCCTCGCAAAGGAGAGCGAGTATGGCTAGGAACATTCGACACGCCGGAGGCGGCCGCCCGAGCTTATGATGCTGCAGCTCGTAAGGTTCGCGGTAAGAAAGCGAAGGTGAACTTCCCAGACGAAGCCTCCAAACCTGCTCAGAACCACCCTCCAAAACAAACTGTATCAAAAACATTGGAAGGAAACTCTACTGAGGAATTAAACTTCAATGAATCCTTAGATTGTTTCAGCAATGCAAATTACAATTTTTACTCTAGTTTAGGTATGTGTGAGGAGATTATTGAGCCTATGAAGCTTGAGAAGATATATTCTGAGCAGGAAAGCAACTCTTTAAATTGCTCAGATTATGGATGGGAAAATGAGTTCAAGAGCCCTGAGATTAGCTCAATTCGAGCTCCTACTGTTGGAGATCTTAAATCTGGATTCATGGAAGAAGGTGGAGAACATAAGAAACTCAAAACTAATTCTGATGATGATCTTAAATTTCCAGAAGATCTACCGGCTTTCGAGCCAAATATGAAGTTCTTGCCATTCTCTGAAGAAACCTTAGATGGATCACTTGATTCCCTTCTTGGCACTGAGATGATTCAAGATGGAACCCTAAACTTTATGGATCTTTGGAACTTTGAGGACATTCCCATATCTGAAAGTATATTCTAAATATATCTGATATCCTTCTGGGTCTCTGTAAATAAGGAGAAAAACGTAAGCTTCTCCTTGCTCTAATACATTTTCTAAACCTATTGGTTTCATTTTAATTTTGAAAGACTTTTTTGTTTTTTCCTATTTAATGTTTCAGAAACTTATGTTATGGAGATTATGGATAGCCAGAGCTGTTAGCCAATGGCTACCAATTTCATTGAAGCAGACTTTGGTTGTTATACTAATATATGTCTGTTGTTTTTGTGTTTTTAGAACTTGAATATGTGCGACTGATTTGCTGGTTATTTCAGAAACTAATGAAATGCTATTTATGGTGCCTGGTTGTTCTTGTTCTTGGAGATGCATACATTCTTAGGGTCTATTTGGGGATAAATTAATCTATGCGGACACCGGACGTCATCCGGAGACCAACCAGAACGCACCACGTCACTTTTTTGCTCTGTACTGGTGTTGGGTACCGAGTGACGTAGCGTGTTATGGCTAGCCTCCGGACCGTCCGATGTCCGCACAAAATAATTTCTCACTATTTGGGACAACTTTCTCTTTGCTTTGCTTTTCTACAAACATAATTTTTTTTGCTATTACTTTTTTGCTGTTTTTTTTTTATTTATTTATGTGATGTAAAGCTATTTTTTTACAATCAAAATAACTAAATTATTTTTCTTATTAATTACTTCACAATCAATTTTATAAAATAATGCACTCATCTCAAACAAGCTCTTAAGACTATACTTTGTTCTTCTGCAGTTAAATTACTGCAGCATTTAAATTACTGCAGCATGGTGTTCCTAGTGAAGTTAAGGCTTCGTTTGAGATAGCTTTCTTATTGCATTTTAAAGTTATTTTTTAGTTCAAAATTTTTAATTTTTTTACTAAAAGATACTTAAAAAAATCTTAAGAAAATCGTCCTAAACAAAGCCTAAAACATTTTGATGGCATGAGAAGAACAGCTCACCAACTATTCTTGCTTTTGGCTGTTGGAGGGTGTGACATTTCTGTCTGTGACATGACAAACAAGTTCTGTATATTTTTAGTTTATCAGATTTTATTTTTTGTGAGGAGCTGAAGGTGTTCTAAATGTTGATTTTATTACTTTAATTTATTTCTATTATGTTGGGCAATGAGTTGTTGATGGAAAAATATAATATATCTATAAAAGTTTAGATATTTTTTATGTTATACTGAAACCCAAAATCATGTTAAAATTCTAACCAACACTACTGATGAATCCTAAGATAAAATACATTTACATTAATTCCAATCTCTTCAACAAAGAGTTTTTCTATTTTTTTATTAGAGTTGGACAATAAATTGATAATTGAAAATCAACATTTAGAAATAGGAATAGAGGAAAAGATAGACTAATCTTCAATTAAAAAAACTAAGCCTATATATGACATATGGATTAGGATGATCAAAATATATCAAAAGAAAAGATTAGAATAAAACATTCTTATATATGAATCTTACATATACTGATATATGATGAAGATTAATTGGGTTTAAATGTTTTGCATTAGCTTTCCCAATCTTGAAAGAATTTAACTCCCACAAATGAAGTTTATAATATTCTCAAACTCTACATAAATGTACTTAGAGCACTACATATGTCGGCTAATAATCCTCTAAAAGGTTGTTTGGTTTGAAATAAACGGTGTAAAGAATTCCAAAGCAAGAGTTTGAAGAATATTGGTGTTTTGTTAGAAGTAAATCAAATGCTGTGTAAAGTTTTGGTGTATTTGAAATTCACCACTTAGTTCATTTTTTTGGGCAATTTTCAAAAACATTGAAACTTCAATGCCTGTAGCCAACTGTCATCACTACTTGCCATCGTTGCCGCCAGCCACCACCATCAACTATTACCACCATTGCCAACCACCACCACCATCGGCTCGCACACCGCCAACCGCCACCACTGATTGTTACCACCCGCCGCCATCACTGTTCGTCACTAACCATTCTATCTTTGAACATTAAACAACATTCATTTTATTTCAAGTCAAACAAAAAATAATAATTCCGTGCATTTATTTTAGTTATAGATGGGAAACCTCTCAAATATAAGTATAATCAAAACTTTATCTCCCTCATTAACTTCAACAAACTTCCTATGTTAACCAACAAGGATTTATATCTTCGGAAAATTATAAAGAACTTTTACAGAATCTCCTCATGGTCTCACATGCTTAGGGAGAATTATGTGTGAACAATATGGAAAATAACATCCAAACCTCAGGTCCGGCCACCAAAATTTATGGTCACCATCTCAATTTGGACTTCAATATGAGGGTAATAAGTAGTAAAACAAATCATGGAATTTAAGCACCAAATACAGATAGTAAAGACTGAAGAAGCAGCAAGTTTAATAAACACAACATTTATTTTGAACAAATGTACAAATAAGGTTCTGCAAGGCAGATTTTTTTTTTTTTGCCGAATTCTTAAATATATATACATCATCGGCTCCCATATCAGATATGAACAATTTCAGGAAGATGAATTTTCTAGTGGCTTATTTAACAAGACCAACAATTTTACCGTTAAAAAAAATATTTATAGTTGGTGGTCAAATACATGTATAAAGGTCATGGAGAGCAGAATACAGTGGACCTGCAGCCTTTGGTCTCTCCACTGTCCCCAGTAAAATGTCTGTCGTAGTCAGATAAGGGTCACCATAGAAACGAAGGTTCGCATCCATCCTTGTAAAAACAATGTTTCCTTCCATTGAGACCCCAATAAAAGCACCTGGTACAGTTTTCAATGAAAATTAGACAACATGCGAATAAGAAAATGATAGGAAGTGTTGATGCACTTTTTCTCGAAATCAACGAACGACAATAAGAAATTAGAAAGAAAAACACACCAAAACTATTTTTATTACAAGATATAAGAAAGAAAATAGCAAGATACATATGGATCTTCAATTCGAGAGGAAGATCTAGCTCTCTCAAATCCCTAGCTTCCGGCTAGAGCCCAAATAACATAGGAAATTCTAATTTCAGCAAACTCCAAACATAATCTTGAGATCATCCTATTGTTAGTCTTAAATAAGCTCACATAATTCCATCACAAATAATCCCCTTTTTCCTAAATAACTCTCTCAAATTTGAATTCAAATTAGATTTATTTCCCTGATTAATTCCCTCCCAATTATAATTAACTTTCATAAATAATCCCCTTAATTTCTCATCCTCTTTCCTAGATAATTCTCTCTTAAATTTTGAATTCAAATTAGATCTCTTGTCCTAAATAATTCCATCTCAATTGTAATTAAAACATTCCTAAACAATTCCCCTTTGATTAAGAACCTTCCTAAATAGTTCCCTCTTAATTAGGAAACTTCCTAATTCCCTCCCAATCAAATTGGCCGGTCTATCAGAAAATTCACTGATGAATATTGCTGAAACAAGAAATTGGATTGACTAGTGAAGTTTTAACATATATCACCTAAGCAGTTGTGAAGACAAGGGAATGATTGTGTAACAAGAGTAAAATCACAAAGACAAAAATTCTACTTGAAAACAACATTCAAGCCTCTCTAACGTGGCCAAAAACATAAAAAGGGTACCTAGATAAGATCAGTAGATGATATAGGTTTCGTTTGGGTGACTTTCTTACTGCTTCTTAAAGTAGCTTTCTAATATAAAATTTTTAATTTTTTAACTAAAAAACTGTATTAAAAAGCAACAAGAAAGCTGTCTCAAAGGAATCCTGTATGAACAGAAATAATACCTTTGCTGCAGCTGTATGTATAGCAGACACCACGTCCTCGATCCCCAGCCCGGAGATCTGCCTCCAAAACCCTGCCAATTGGCCCTGCTGCAGCACTTATACCTGCTCCAAGCGAAAAATGCATTTGACTGCAAAATGTTTTCACAGTTTCGGAGTCGTGAAGCACAGCAATGAAGTCCATGAGTTCCCCTCCTATCTACATAACAGAGTTACATGATAAGCCACTTCATTCTTAAAATAAAACTGTCTCAAATTTATAAGCCACTTCATTAGGTGCGCAATGATTATCAGTTGCAATCTAAAATTTATTTCAACAAAACAATAAAACTGTCCTCCAATCTGCATGTTCATGACAGCTTAATATGTAGGTTAAAAAGTTAAACAATAGAGAAAGCACAAGTAGGTTGAATTGAGCAAAAATGGCAAAAATAATTATCACCATCACCAGTCTCATCCTAACTATCTGGTTTCGACTTAAATAATTTACTATCTGCCTCTTCCAACTTTTATTAGGCCTCCATGATGTGTAGATTTTATCTTCCCAGCAATCAACTTAATACCTTATTAGAAAATTTCAATGACTTTGTAGTGAAAGCCCTAGGTGATTTGTTGAGATGTAGAGATTATTTCATCTAAAATACCTGCTCAAATCCCCAATTATTTGAGCCAAATTTATTATATATTGTTATTCGATATGTTATCCAAGCTCAACCCTCAAATCTTGCAAATCTGAAGCTAGATTTTGTTACTGAACTTGGGGCCTAAACTTTTAATCTAATTAATTTGTTTCCACCTCCTCAAACTATTGCAGCAGTGGTCTTTACTCTTTAGCCAACTCCAAATAGATTGTGGCTTGAGGTGAGCTTCATGGAGGTTCAACAGCAAGTTTTCAATGGGAAATGACAGATGAGGTCGACAGAAGCCAAGATTGGGGAACAATGACTAGTCCTTGTTGAAGAGAATGCCGTCATTGCTAATGATAGAGAAACTGTTCACCATGGTCTCAAAAAGATTGTAGTTGGAGTTGAATAAGAAAGGAGAAAATAAAACTTAAAATATCCATAATATTATATACATTGTGTATAAGTTTTAGTTTCTTTAATGGGTTAAGCTTCTTCTGACTGATTGGGGTTTTATGGAAAAGAAAAGGCGGAAAAATAGAGGGAATAATAAGAAAATACCAAGCAGATAAAAATCAAAGGGAAAATATTTGAGAGCAAATAATGTAAAACGTAAATATCTCTGAAACTGCCAGAAACTACTCTCTATACTATCATGGATGAAAGCAAACTTCGTATAAATCTTTATCATCCTTTTCTAGCATTTTTTCATATAGATTTTATTTCTCATTCTCATTTTGAGATTACTTTCACGAGTGCACTTATCCTAAATTATTGGTATCGAAGCTAGGCTTAACGGTCGGTTGGGAAAAGTACAATGACATAGGAGGACATGGAAGATAAAAATCAACAAGTTTAATGGTAAGGATTTTGGATACTAAAAGATGAATAATTGCATATCAAGGATTACACATATCAGAAAAAGCTGCATCAAACTCTCTTTGGCACAAAGCCCACTACCATGAGTTAAAAGACTGGGATCCCCTAGACAGACATGCATGACACTATTGTTGCTTTCAAATGAGAAGACTGCATATATAGTGATGAAAGCTAGTCAAACATGTACTAAAATCTTTCACTGATAAATAAATCATATCTAATGAAAATTATTTTGAATCTCAAGATAATTGAAAACATTTCCACATCAGAGCATGTAAATGCATTCAATATGATAACAAGTTGAGCTTGTTATCAATGCTTAGAGAGGGCTGGTGCGTAATTGTGATGGAGATCAACAATTCATGTGGCCAGTTGAAAACCAATGACGTTAATGAATTGATCTTAAGTGAAGGACACTAGAAGATGAGAAATAGGTGAAGGATCTTTTTCCTCAAATCCACACAAGGACTTAATAATTAACTATTCCTCAAGAGATTACAGAAAAGCTCATCTTGTGAATGATGACCCGTGAACATTATGATTATTGCTGATGTGCACGCCCCATAGTTCATTGGATGAAATTTATTATGGCATGTACAAGATTGGAACTCGAGACTTTGGCAATGCCCTTAACAATCAGGCTAGCTAGCAACCTAAAAGACACATTATAGGTAGAAGAGGAAGTAGTTCTCTATCAAGACAACTAGATAAATAATGCTAAATCTCTCCTTTTAGCACTTATACTGGGAAGGTGATAACTGGCATCAAACAAAAAGACAATATGGCAACTTAAACACCGTAGCAACAAAGGAACAGTGTATGAAAGAGAGAAGTTATATGTGCAAGTAGGCATGCCAGCACAAATGCTACTGAACCTAAAAAAGCAATTTAAAAATAAATAACTTTGTCAAACGGGAGTTACTAAATATAGTATAGTGTCGCAGAACAGACAAAATTTTAGAATCAAAGGAGGAGCATAAAAGGCAAAGAATATGGTAGGTTGATTTGACAAATTTACAACTGATGTGCTGAATTTACACAATGCCTTGGTCAATCCCCGTGGTTAATTGAGGGAGGGTGCAACAAAAAAATGATTTTCTCTTAACAATACATTGAAAGTTTGATCTTTAAATGGGACAATACTATTGAGGTGTGGACCTTAATTTTCTCTAAAATCTCAAACTTATTCAAATAATGATATTCAAATTATTGCTCAAACTCAAGCCTCAAGTCTCTACAAATCTAAAGCTAGATTTTATTGCTTAACCTCAAGCCTAAACTACTAACCTAATTAGTTTTTTCCACCGCCTCAAAGCACTGCATGATAAATAACAAAGTAATTGTGATCATTAGTCATATCAACTACACAGACAAACCAAACTAAAGAAACTTTCTCAACTGAAGCACTATAATTGAAAGAAGATCTATAACCAAGAGTGGCCAATGAACAGACAACAAACAGAGGTGATCACAAGGTTGGTGATCTCACCCAATGGTGACAAGCGTAGGTCCAATGACTCATTAGTTGGAGAGTTATGATATGAACCAATTGGGAGGAAAACACTAGCAGTTGAGGTAAGGAGACCATTGTAATGACAATCCTTGGTATGCATGGAAGAGCAAGTCATTTACGATGAGTGTCAAGGAGGTTCATCAAGGTCCTAAACAGGTTTTTGACGACAGTGAACAGAGGAGGCTGACCACAGTCAAAAGAGGAGGCTTGCAAATGGTCCTTGTTGAAGTTGATGGTGTCCTTGGCAAAGTTATAAATCAACAAGGTCTCAATTTGATCTGTGTTCACAGAGACGTAGAAGGATTGTTTTGGGTTGGAAAAGAATGAAGAATATAGAACTAATATTTTTTTATTCCTTTCGTTGGATAAGTTTCTTCTAACTCATTTGAATTTTATTTGAAGTTTGAGTTGGCTTAAATATTAAACAAATAAAGGAAAATAGAGAAAACAAGAAGAAAAATAAAACAAGAGAAAAATGATAGTTAGACAAAACAGAGATGGAGAATATTTAAAGGCAAATATTGCATCTTTTACACATCTCTGAAACTAGTGAAAAATACTAATCCTTCTATGCAGATGTGAACGTAGGTGTACTTTGCTAAACCGTGTAAATACATCTCCACTTTTCTAGATATTTTCCTTTTAAATTTTATTTCCTATTATTGTTTCTTTTTTCCCTTATGTGCACACTTGCCCCAACAAGATTCTCACAGGTAGTACTGTGTCAAGGTAAACATTCAAAAATAGAAAAGTAGATATGCTTATGATTGGACAAGGCAATGCTTTTTTTTTATATCATTATTTCCATATATCTGTTTGATCCTTTTCCAAACTTCTATGCAGGGAAAGATATGCTTCAAATAGTTTTAAACAAGGATGGTGAAAGCAACATAATAGATTGAAACATTTTAGAAATCTTCATGGTAGCATGTTTAAATTAAATATCTAAGCATCGAACAATTCAATTCAATTTATACTTGAACCCACACAGGTTCATAAGAGTGATATCTAAATTAAATATATCAAATCACTCTTATCAGATTTGATATGACTAGAAATAAAATGAGGGGAAAATAAACCATAAATAAAATCTCAGGGGAAAAAAATCATTAAGCACCTTAAAAATTGGAACTGTCTAAAAATCTATATCTTTAATTCCAAGTCTAAAGTAGGATATAGGTGTTCCGAGCCAAATCTTTAATGCATGGAACTAACATTGTTACTATGCATGATAAATACTAGCTTTTTCCACAGAATATTACCAAAATAATTAAGTAACTATAGAAACCAACTGAATTCCCCAATAAGCCCATCAATGTTACACTAGATACTAGATCATAATTCTAAATATTAATGCATGATGTATTAGCAAAGATTGATGTCATTTCCTGCACAATTACCTGAGCTCCCCATCCCAGACCAACAGATAGTATGGCAGATGGAGCAGACCACGTTCCATCCGCCCTTCGAGATACCACGAGACCAGTGCCAAACTTGTATGAAATTATAGTGCCAGCTTTAACCATTGTTAGAATGGCAAGCCCTTTCGCATCCTTTAAGACAGCTTGGGGAATGGACTTATCAGGAGTTAGTCTAGCAACCTGCAGATTCATCAATAGCATTGTAAGCGCACATAGTCAACTTCACTAGAATTTATTATGCAAATCTCAGAGAAGATCACAAGATGTACGTTGAAATTATACAGATCATAAGCAAATACTTCAAATAAAAGATAAATGAAATCACTAATGGCTCACCTGTGAGTAACCCCTCAAAGTATTAGCTGCCTTGTATATTTCATGTTCCATTGACAAACCCAAAGGTAAATTCAACCATGCTCTAGTGCAGGTCCAGTCAGTAACATCATGTTTTGCAGACTGGACGGCATTGCTAATTGAATTTATCAATATACTCTGCAAAGGATCAAGCCTATCAAAACAAATATCACAAACTCTTTGAGGGTCTCGCATATGAAATTTAACAGGCAACAAGCACCTCCCCTTTGTGCATGCTCTGCAGAAGACACCACCGCAAAACCTACAATGATGTCTTCCCCGCGTAAGAGCTGTAAAAGGAGAAGAGCATTGCATGCAGACTATAGTGGTACTATCTGGCAACCATTCTGGAGGCTCTGCTTCAAGTACATCTCTATATGCACTGTAATTGATAGATTCTGGCTCAAGTAATGGTGGAGCACTTGGTGTACAGACAGATGAATGCAAATAGCTCTCGCCATCCTTTTCATAGCCAATAAATGACACACTCGAGCAGAAATTCTGTTGAGGTTGAATGCTAGCAAGACCTTTACTGCGTCCTGTTAGAATTGCAGCTATTCCACTTATTACGTTTTTCAAATTCACTTCAGGCTCAGCCTTGGATCGTTGTGCTGAGTCATAGTGTTCTTCTTCTGAACCATATCCATCAACAAAGTCAGATTCATCTGCAAATGAATACTCATAATCTCGACTAAATGTTCTTGGCCCTGATTGGAGAGTATGATCTCCCATGACACCCTGAGAATTATGGGTAAAGTTTTTCTTGTACTGGTTCTCTTTGACATTAGAAAGTGATGAAAATGAAACTATTCTTTCAGATGCAGCCATATGAACTTTCACTTATCAAGCTCAAGCATAAAATGGTACTTTCCCTGTAGATTATCACATAACTATTTCAGGTAATTACAAAAAAATGCTCTATTGACACCAAATATGACCCAATAAACTTATCATATCCAAGTCTTTCTAGGTTAGCTATCAGATTTTACCATCGACAATTTCCTTACTCCCATACTCACTTTTCTATGGTGACCTACAGTAAATAAGTAATACTTTGGCATATATGCCAAAGAACTGATTACTGAACATAAATGAACAAGTACAATAACTCACATCCTAAACTAATCTGTTAGTGTGTTAATACACACACAGAAAGAAATTAGTCAATTACACACCATTCTCCAAGCAAACCAATAAATATAAACACATACAGAGCAACTAATTCAAACATGGCCAAAAATTTTTACTTAAAACATCAATCATGTCTACCAATGGATCTTTTCAAATGCACATTTAACTAGATGTCCTGCAAGTGCTGTTGACATCGATTTTGCCGATAATTGGGCTTGGAGAGTTGACTTGGTCAAATTGACCAAGCCAGACCCCAAGACCCTCTCCAATAGGTTCAGTGGGTCAGACCCAACCTACTGGACCTAGTCTTGGGCCTTGGGTCAACCTAGTTGACCAAGTCAACCAGGGTTGACCACCTAGCCCGCCCATTAAGAGCTCAAATCAATTTTAAATCATTTTAAACCCTTTCTTGAGCTCGAGCCTCCTCCCCATGGACCTAATTGACTGATTTGACCAAGTCAAATGTTGACTTGGTCAAATCAGGTCATAGATAGGTCATAATAGCCTATTTTATTGCAATTAAGACCTAATTAATGGGAATTAAAACCTCCCCTTGATTTGAAATTGGAACCACGGCCTCTCTTGCTCTGAATTCCCTCCAAATCAACTCTTGATTAGATCTAGACCGTTCCCTTGGACTCCATCCGTTTAAATACCCAAAAATTAGGTCAAGGGATGGATCTTTTTGCAATTGCTCTCTCTCCAGACTTCCACAGACTCTAAAATCTCTTGTGGGAGTTCCTGGAGTTCCCCACGACCTTCCCCCACCGAATCCCGACGAATCCCACTCGCCGGCGGCGAGATTCCGGCGACCTAAGGCCAAATCCGTCCAAGGCTTCGATCCACTTGATCCTGGGCTCGTTGGTTCGTGATTTCAACTAGGAAAACTTACGAGGACAGTCTACAAGTGCAACCGTACAAAGATTTTGAAAATCAACGGTTAGATCCTCTTAAAACCCTTAGAAAAGGCTAAACACTTAGATCTAAATAGATATCTTTACATTGTGTTTCGATTAAAAAGTTTAGCCCCCACGATTTCTGTTCATATCTAGGTTCTGTGTTTAAAATTTCACAAATTTTGGTTGAGTATCGAGGGAGAACGAAGCCAAAACCCTTTAGGGTTTCGGGTCTCGCCGGCGATCACTAGCCGATCTCAGCCGTCGTCTCGCGATAGACGGTCGTGATCAAGCCTCTCCGCGGTTTGGCTTAACGCGGATTTTCGTCGCCATTCGCGGACTACGTGGCAGATCTGGACGTCCGCCCGAACCGCGCGGGATGACGGTCCTGATTCGTGCTGACTCATTCAAGTGACGGCGCGGTCCCGCTGCAATCATCCGCAGTGATGGCGCCAATGATTGCTGGGCGCAATCATTGGCCGAACCGCGGTCAATGAACGCGCGCCACGTGGCGCCGCCGTCTGATTTTATTAAAATAAATATAGAAAATTATTTTAAAGCTATTTTACTTCCAAAAATCACAGAAAATTCATTTTTCGTCCGATTTCGCGTACAATACCTCGTTTTGTTCGTATTTCATTTTCTACACTATAAAAATTTTATAAAATAATGTATATATTTTTTATTATTAATAAACAGTAAGATCTTTTAATTATTTATAATTATATTATTTATTTATATCTATAATTATTTTTAATAATTATTATCATACTATTATATTTTTATTGTATATTTTACTGTTTTGTTTTAATTATTATTATTATTATATATAAAAATTGTATTTTCAATAATACTAGTTTAATTTTTTGATTATTTTAAGTATTAAAATAGTATTAACAACTAAAATATTATTATTATTATATATGTATATGTTTAAATTACTTTAAATTTTCAGAACTATTAAAATTATTTTTTTATGATATTAATATATATATTAAATATTATTTATTTTTTATTATTCAAATCAATTTATTGTATTTAAACTTCAGAAAATCAGTATTCTGTTTTTTAATCCGCTGTCGACGCACAACACCTTGATTTGAACGTATTTGAATTCTGCACATTCTGGAACTAGTTTTACTTGAAAGTTTTAATCTGCCTGCAGTTACTTTGAAAACAGCCAATTTTACTATTTTAAAACTATTTAATTATTGTCTTTAAACTTTGAATTGCGTATTTTCGTTTTTAAGTCTGTTTTGATGCATAGCACTTGTTTTGGGTGTATTTTGAATTCTGCAATAGTTGAGGAGACTATTTTAGATAAAATATATATTATATTTTCTGTTATTCAAATAAACAGTAAAACAGCATTAGTTATAAAAATATTCTTTTATGGTATTTAAACTTGTAAATTGCATATCTTTTTCGTTTTAAATCGATTTTTGTATAACCCATCGATTTTTCAGAAAAACGTGTATTTTATTTTGAAACCATTTCCAGTCACTGATTTTGGCTGTTTTGGCAGATCATGTTTGAATTTGATTATTTGAGTATTTTTGATATGGAATATTGATTATAACATTATTTTCAGATATCAACTATTTTCAAATAGTTTTGAGGCGTCGATTGAGTAATCAGTGGGTCTCCCCTATATTTATGTAATTATGAATTGAACCTATTTTTAAATTAAATATTTTCAAAGATTATATTATATACAATTATTTTGAGTATTTGCGAATTACTTTATGTTATTTAAATTCCTAATTCCGGGAGATCCCTATTTCATGAAATTTTAGACATGGGTTTAGATATGAAGCAATCATGGGGGAGAGGATTAGTGGGTGATTGAGTTCCAATCTTCACTAATTATTCGTTTTTAGGTGTCTTTCCTTTTATTTTTCGTAGATTGCATGTGTATGTCGCACCACGAGCACTTGGCTTAGGCTCTCCTAGGTCAACAAATTTTTTATACTCCTTAGTCTAAGGAGAGCTTAAGCAAGTGCTCGTGGTGCGACCTACACATACAATCTACGAAAAATAAAAGGAAAGACACTAACAAGGAATTAGTGAATAATTGGAATCAATCACCACTAATCCTCTCCCCATGATAGCTCTTCATATCTAGAACCATGTCTAAAATTCATGAAAGGTGGATCTCCCGGAAATTATGAATTTAATAACATAAGTAATTTCGCAAATACTCAAAATATTGTAAAATATATATAATCTTTGAAAAATAGTTTAATTTAAAAATAGGTTAATTCATAATTACTAAATATAGGGGGACACTGATTACTCAATCGACGCTCAAAACGATTTGAAAATAGTTTGTATCCTGAATATAATTGTTATAATCAATATTCATATCAAAAATACTCAAATAATCAAATTCAAACAGTGATCTGCCAAAACAGCCAAAATCAGTGACTGGAAATGATTTCAAATAAAATACACGTTTTTTCTAAAAAGATCGATGGGATTAAGCAATAATTCTGATTTAAAACGAAAAGATATGCATTTACAAGTTTAAATACCATAAAAGATATTTTAAACTAATGCTGTTTTACTGTTTTTTGAATAACAGAAAATATAAATATAATTTTTATCTAAAAAATAGTCTAACTATGCAAATTCAAAATACACAAAAAAGTGTTGTGCATCAAAATCGACATAAAAGAGAAATTACGCAATTTCAAAATTTAAAGACAATAATGTAAATAGTTCAAAATAGTAAAATTGGCTGTTTTCCAAAGTAATGCAGGCAGATCAAAACTTTCAAGTAAATTAGTTCGAAATGTGCAGAATTCAAATACGTCTCAAATCAGGGTGTTGTGCGTCGACAGCGGATTAAAAACGAGAAAGTAGATTTTCTGAGTTTAAATACAATAAATTGATTTAAATAATCAAAAATAAATATATTTAATATATAATTATTATAATTAATCAATAAAATAAAAAATAATTTTTTTAATAGTTCTGGAAATTTAAGTAATTTAAACATATACATATATAATAATAATAATATTTTAGTTGTTAATACTTTTTTAATACTTAAAATAATCAAACAATAAACTAGTATTTATTATGAAAATACAATTTTTTTATATATAATAAATATAATAATAATAAACAGTTAACTAACAATCAAATAATAATTAGTATGATAATAATTATTAAAATAATAATATGTAATAATTAATTAAGATAATTATTAAATAATAAAAAGAGTATCTTATTGTTTTATTAATAATTAAAATATATACATTGTTTTTTTATAAAAAAAATTTTATAGTGTAGAGAATGAAAATACAAACAAAACGAGGTATTGTTACGCGAAAAATCGAACGAAAAATAATTTTCTGTGATTTTTTGAAGTTAAAATAGCTTTAAAAATAATTTTCTATATTTATTAATAAATCAGACGGCGCGCCATGTGGTGCGCGTTCATTGTACCCGCGGTTCGGGCCAATGATTGCGCCGCCAGCAATCATTGGCGGCCAATTACGCGGGATGATTGCAGCGGGACCGCGCGTCACTTGAATGAGTAAGCACGATTCAGGAACGTCGATCGCACGGTTCGGGCGGACGTCCAGATCGTGGCACGTAGTCCTCGGATTGGCGAGCGAAAATCGGCAGTTAAGGCCAAACTGCGAAGAGGTTTGATCATGCGTCTATCGCGAGACGGACGTTGAGATCGGCCCTAGCTGATCGCCGGCGATACCCGAAACCCTAAAGGGTTTTTTGGCTCGTTCTCCCTCGATACTCAACCAAAATTTGTGAAATTTTAAACACAGAACCTAGATATGAACAGAAATCGTGGGGGCTAAACTTTTTGATCCGAAACACAATGTAAAGATATCTATTTAGATCCTAAGTGTTTAGCCTATTCTAAGGGTTTTAAGAGAATCTAACCGTTGGATCTTCAAAATCTTTGTACGGTTGCACTTGTAGACTGTCCTCGTAAGTTTTCGTAGTTGAAATCACGAACCAACGAGCCCCGGATCGAGTGGATCGAAGCCTTGGACGGATTTGGCCTTAGGTCGCCGGAATTTCGCCGCCGGCGAGTGGGATTCGTCGGGATTCGGTGGGGGAAGGTCGTGGGGAACTCCAGGAACTCCCACAAGAGATTTTAGAGTCTGTGGAAGTCTGGAGAGAGAGCAATTGCAAAAAGATCCATCCCTTGACCTAATTTTTGGGTATTTAAACGGATGGAGTCCAAGGGAACGGTCTAGATCTAATCAAGAGTTGATTTGGAGGAAATTCAGAGCAAGAGAGACCGTGGTTCCAATTTCAAATCAAGGGGATGCTTTAATTCCCATTAATTAGGTCTTAATTGCAATAAAATAGGCTATTATGACCTGATTTGACCAAGTCAATGTTTGACTTGATCAAATCAGTCAATTAGGTCCATGGGGAGGAGGCTCGAGCTCAAGAAAGAATTTAAAATGATTTAAAATTGATTTGAGCTCTTAATGGGCTAGGTGGTCAACCCTGGTTGACTTGGTCAACTAGGTTGACCCAAGGCCCAAGACTAGGTCCAGTAGGTTGGGTCTGACCCACTGAACCTATTGGAGAGGGTCTTGGGGTCTGGCTTGGTCAATTTGACCAAGTCAACTCTCCAAGCCCAATTCTCGGCAAAATCGAGGTCAACAAGTGCATTAACCTTGTAATGGAATGCAAATAAAAAGGTCACAAGTTGAGATCATTCATCTACTAGATTAAAGTTGATGCAATGTCAATGAATCATCATAAAAAATTTACACTTATCATAATAAACTCAAAAAAATGTACCTCATAGAATACTTTTGAATCATACAACAAAATTTACCATCTATTTCCTTACATATCATCATTATAATACACCCTACATAGCATAAGTTTATAGATATAACCAAATCCCTCCTTGAACTCACAAAATTTACCAGCTATTACAGTCAACTCACAAATTAAACAACACTTAGTTGCATCTGACCACCACACCAAATTCACATTCACTTTAGGTCACATTCAATTTATGATGCATCGTACAGCTCGATAACATATTTGCAAACACCATTCCTTATCATTGCATTGAGAGAAAGAAATATGTGCAAGATGCATATTATCTTTCTCATCTCCAATGTAATTAGTAATTTGGCAGAAGTTAAAAAGTAAGCAAGAATCTTGGTGCATAAATAGAGTTCAAGATCCCCAATGAAATACAAAAATTATTCCAATCATTTCTCCTCTTTTCAAATCAAAATCTTGCAACCAAGCCAATTCATTCACTAGCATAAACCGCCCACCATTTTTTGTTATGTTCTTAACATCTAAGTAAACTGATCATTCATCTGCTTAGTTCCCAACATTACCATAAGATCTTTCATTGATCATTACTCATACTCATATAAAAGAAATTGAAGATATCAAGAAACCGAAAAACAATTCACATAATTTCATATGATAATATTGACAGAGTTTACAAAAAAGCTCATGTTTCAATTAAAGTTTAAGCCTTGATCAAGGGGCTAACAGATGTTTCAGATAGAAAACAGGACTAACAAAAATGAGAAAATCCCTACTTAAGCAAGAATTGTCATCCTAATCAAAATCAACTAGACCAGAAACTCAACTCAATGAAAAAAAAAAATCTAAAAAACAAAGAAACCACTTGCAATTCACAAGAAAAATAAGATAATAATATGCTGGGTGAATTTTTCATTTTACCCACAAAGTTAATGAACACAATAAAAGTTCAAAAGCAGACCACCTGCACTGATCCTTCATTCCTTCTATACGTGTATCTATACATTGATATCACAAACCTCGGATATTAAGGAAGGGATAGAAACAGGAAAGAAAAGATGGAAAAGTTACCGCCACACAAAACCCTTAAACAGGTCAAAAGAATAAGAATCGCATCATCATGATGATGATGGAACAGAATCAAACGAAGCAAAACTCACCAATGGATTGGATGGCTAGAGAGATGCTATTTTGTTCCAAATCAAGCAGATAAAGACATGGAAACTGGTTTTTCTTTCTTATAAAACTACCGTGAAGACGCAGAAAGCGAACGCCGTGTTATAAACATTAGACCACGCAAAATGATGCGCAAAAAATGATTTTTTTTATAAACATCTTACGGATGATTCTTGCTCTCTCCCCAAAATCGATACCTTCTGTTCTTTGTATAATATCACCAAAGCGATTCGAATAAATTAAAAAAGATAAAAATACCACTAAGGTTTCGATTTACCCGAAGAAGGGAAAAGAGAAAACGGAAAACAGAACACAAAAAACGCACCTAGCGCCAGGGTAAGAGCAAGCGGAGACCAGGCGGTGACGACCGGAGAACAGCGAGGGGACGGCGAAGAGAGAGAAGAGACGTCAAGTAGAATCGCGGACAGCTAAACTAGGGCACGACTATGCCTTTGCGGGCAAGATTAGATATCGTGACATCAAGGGATAGAAATATTAAAAGAATTTGGAGGGATGAAGGATAATGTTATATTTCATCATCAATAAGTAATTTATATGCATACTATTTATATTATTATTATAAAAAACATATAATTCATCTCTTATTTCTCAATTTTATTTATTTTACTAAAGTTAAAAGATTTTTTTGTCTTAACTTTATGTGAATAAAAACACCATGCATACAAATAAAATAAACAAGAATTTTCACTTAAAAACTTTGAAAGTAAAAATATTATGCATAGGGGGTGTAAACGAGTCGAAGTCTGAGTATCTGTTTAATCGAGTTAAGTTTTTTTAGTTCTAATTGAGCTCGAACTCGACTTGTATTAAGGTTGAGCTAATGAGCTATCGAGCCGAGCCAAATTAAGCTCGAGCTCATTTAATAAACAAGCTCAAGAATTAGCTAGAGATCGAATTCATTGATCAAGTATTAGAAAGAAGAGTAGTGAGCTCAATCAAAACAGCGAAATAAAAATTAGGGCAGAGCTTAGGAAAAACCAATGAGAGTCGATAGGTGTATGAAAATGTCATTTCAAATGTAAAAAAATTAACCATTTTATTGATCTAATGGAGATTCCAATGGGCATGAAGTTCAACATTTTTTTTTTTTTCATAGACATTCCAACTAGTTTAATTGTGAAATAAAAGATTTGATATCAATAAGAGGCAAAGGAGAAGAGCATTAAATATTATGGAGAGGAAAAAAGAATGCTTACCAAGAAATTCATTAGGCAGATCTGCAATCATAGGAGAACCATTATAAAAGCTGAAGAGGCTAAAATAATTGGAGAAGATACCTACCAGAGGAGACAGTAGAGAGGAAGAAGAAAAGTTCGGGCAAGCTGAAATCGAACGCGAATAGGAAACGCCGAAACGGAGGCTTAAATGGTCATTCATTTGCTTAAATGAAATATTATTGTGTTTAAATCAACTAATTAGTTTAAATTTTGTAATTAATTGTATGTAATATGTGGTGGATTCTATAAGAGCAGTTGGTCACGGATTATGTAATAGTTGTTTAATAGGTTGCCGGATTTCTTAATTAAATTCAATTAATATGGTATAATTTTTTAAGTAATAAAAATTATAATGCAATTTAAAGAGCAATTTAAAGAGCCGTTTAAAGTAATAAAAAATATAGTACATTCTTTTTTATTATTTTTTTTTTTAAGTTGGGATCTCTTCAGCGAGAACCCTGAAAAAATTGGCGTATGCTGCTTTATGTGACGAGCACACGGTATTCTTTAGTAAAAGGCGAAAGAATGATTCGCTCTGTGCTCATCACACAGCTGAGTAATTTTTTTATTTTATTTTATTTTTTTCTTTTTTCTTTCTTTTAAACAAAGGGCTAGGATAATTTTTGAAGAAATAAAATGGAAGGAAAAGATTTGCTAGGGGTGGAAACTCAAGCCCCATTTATAATAAATAGTATATATTATAGTCTAAATGATCATATGATCTATATCTATCATATACAAAAAAAGTTACATAATAAAAATGTGGTAAGTCAAGATAAAGTGTATTTTTATTGATTTGATAAATATTAAATTAATCAAACTAAAAATCATTAGAAAAAGTGCAAGGTTTTAGGCTACCTACTATGATTAGAAGATTTTTCCTAATTGGAGCAACAGACATAAACAACCCGAAGCAGTTCTCTCTCTTCTCCCTCTCTCCCTTTTCCCCCTTCCCCTCCTCTATTCCTTTCCTTCCCCTGGCAAGCTCAATGGTTGGATTGGGGGAGGGTGGCTGAGTGGAGGAGAAATCTATATTTTTTTTTTCAGTGTCTAGTGTCGCGACTCTCTGATGACCCACCGTTGTAGTGCTGCATATAAAACAATGTTGTGCCGTAGTGCCACATCAACATTGCTGCGCTGAATTATTTCCGAAAAATTATTAGAGTTAGCAATGCCTCCCAGTGTCACTGTGCTCTTGTTCAAATTTCCATATTTTCATTTAAACATTATTTTCAAAATTTCCAGGTTATTATAGTTGGGCGGTAGTTAGATATGAGTGTTCAAGCTATGGTTTTTGTGGTTGTGCTATAGTTGAGCTTTGAGATATTTCAAAAATCAAAACTTTAAGCTCTATTAAATATTAAGCTAATTGTTATTCTCATATTGAGAGTGTGGGTCTATTTATAAATTTTTAAAATGTTCTCCTTTGTAAATATAGCCAAAATGCGAACATTCTCTATTAGACAACTATATTGATTTACTTTATCATATAGCATTCTTTCAACATTTAGGTTCTTTAATGATGCCGAAAGTAAGATATCATGAACTAGTTGGATTCAACTTGGTAAGATGTCAATTTGATTATGAGCATACAAAATTCAAACATCTAATTAAAATCCTAAGTTTATAACCATGTTTTAAGCACTTGAGCTTGATTGTTTTGGACTCAAATCTAATTACTTTTAGGGTTATTGGGTTTATCTCATCGGCCCAATCAGTTTGACTGTAAATTTGTTGAAATTAGTGTTCATATAGTATATAATTGAATTTTGAAAAATTTCCACATCAATTTGACATGAGATTTGTGCCAAATCAAGCTATTTTTTCTATGAGATATCAAACTTCAATATTTAAATTTTAGGCATACATAACATCTATACTATGATCTAAATAAAGGTTTATTAATTTCTTAATACATTATACCACTACATATGATCATTTGGACTTCAAGTGGATCATTATCGTCTAGACAAGACGTTTAATTTGCTTATAAGTTTACTTAAATTAGTATTCGTATGGTCTTGATTTTAATTTTGAAAGTTTCAAATTCAAATATGCCTCAAGATTCATGTCCCATCTAGTCTATTTTTGGTAACATATCAATTATAGTGTTGTATAAATCAATTGCGGGGATTTTAAAATTCACTTGTCTATGATTAAAAGATAATAAATATAAAGTATCCGATCGAGGAAGTTAGAATCCCTCTAGTTCATATTCAATGAATTAATAATTTGTCAAAATCCAAAGAATTCAAAATAGCATAGCATTGTGAGATAATAATGCAGTGACTATCACACATTGTCGGGAAAATTAGCTCACTTGCTCCTCACAAAACCCCAACTTATTGGCTATCCTTGTGACATTATATTTTGTCATTAGATTTTCTCACCATCCTCTCATGTGCCCTAGGTTTATGTTAAAAAAAAAAATAACTTCCAACATTGTAGTTATCTTACTCATATTTAAAATGCTTCTTTTGATTACTTTACTAAACAGCCCCTCAAGCTATAGGCAAAAAATGACTATAAAGGGCAACTTGATAACATGAATTAGCCTAAATCTTGCTAAATATAAATAAAACAAACTTTAAATCCTACATAATATTAAATCTAGTTTCTTTCCTTTTTTTGCTTTAAAATGACATATTTATTAAATTTGTGAATTATGTGAATTTTTTATATTTAACAAAAAAAGCACAAAAGGGATTAAAGATCGATATATACCATCCTGACTAGCTCATATGAGATTTAGCAAAAGTTTATTTTTTCGGCTACTTATCTTTTCTCCTTCACACACAAAAATTTCATCGATGCCTTCGTTGGAGAACTCCTATTGTGACTTTTTTGTTTGTCTTTCGTTGAGGGTTTTAGATTGGAGCGATAGTCATAGAAAGTGGGTTTTTGATAGTATGGGTGTAGCACTTTGATTTTCATTTGTTAGAATTTAAAGTTAATAATTAATTTTAATAATTAATATTAAATTAAGACAATTCATATTATGTGTGATTTAATTTCATTGAAAATAATTTTTTAATCAGTTTTATAAATTACTAGTTAATGATTAATTTAAATATTATTTTATGATTATTAAAATTGATTAAAATATAATTAACATTATGCTAATATTAGTTAATTAAGAATATATTGATATTATTTGTGATTTAACTTATCTAATAGAATATTATGCTTTTCCATTTTAATGCATTATTAATTCATTATTAATAAAAACTTAATATATAATATATATGGATTCATTAACTTAATTAGTATTGATAACAACATTTTAAATCTGAATTGCGGTTTCATTATTTCAATACATTCCTGATTAATAATTAGTCGAATATTATACTTAATTAATTTTGATACAGTTCCTGAATTTTTTTTTTATCAGCGCAAATATTTTGGTAATTTTTCAACTGCCCCGCCTCTAGAGCTGTTAACATTTGATCCGACCCGATAACCCGATCCGAAACTGACCCAAAATTTTTGGGTTCGGGTCGACCCGTTTAAAGAACGAGTAGGGTTAGGATTTTAATTTTTAACCCGTTTAGTTTTTTGTGTCGGATTCGGGTCAACCGGAAAACCTAAACCTAACCCGAAATGACCTGCGCTTTTTATGAGTAAATATCTGCGGCCTGTGATGCGGGCGTGGAGACTCGAGCGGGCAGAAGATATTTTTATTATTTTGTTCCGTCTGTGGCTTCTTATATGTCTAGGGTTTCTTTTCTTTCTTTCTCTCCGCCTCTCCGGTGCTAGAGCACGTCGTCCTCGCTTATGTTTTGGTTCCGACATTCTCTGATCTGTTTGTATCTCATTTTTATTACCATTTTTTATATTTTTGAAGATGAAGGTGTTGAAATTTTTTGTTTTTCACTTATTCTCTATTTCTCTGCTAGTGTGTTGAGATTTTTAGAAAATGAAGGTGTTTCGTGATGTGTTTGTACTTTATATCTCGTTTCTATTATATGTTAGGTTATTCTCGGCTAGGGTTTTAAAAAAAAATTATGATTAATGGTTAATTTGTGAGAATATTATTCACTAGGGTGTTTAAAATATTGTTATTGTTGTCTGATTTGTCTCTACTTAGCCCAGTTTGAACCTTTACAGATTTCAAAAACATTGAGGCAGTTAGGCATCATGAATTTTTTCATTTTTCTTTTGGTTATCGACTGGTTTGTTGTTTATTGACTCGTTTACTGGTTATTGCATCATAATTTTTATCATTTTGCTGCAGGTGCCCCTTTAAGATGTTTTAGTATTAAATGAAAATAATTTTTACAGTTTTTGTTCACTTCATATCAAAAATTTCTGAATTTATTATCTTTTGATTCCAATTTGGCATGTAAGAAATATTTAAATATTTGCATTTGTGATGTCTTCTAATATTTTTGATAGATGGATGGCTCTAACATCATTCCTAATAATATTTGTTTTGATGAAAATGAAAAAAGTTGCGTCATCTGAAAAAGTGGTTGAGGCATGTAACATTGAATGTAATGAGGGAGGTGAAGTTGCTAAGAAGCGGAGAATAATGACTTCGGTTGTTTGGGGTTATTTTGAGAAGTTGCCTAAGCCAAAAGATGGTAAGCCAAGGTGTAAATGCAAGAAATTTGGCGTGACAAATTTCTGTGATAGTAAAAATGACACTGCTAATCTAAGACGACACTTGAAAAATTGTAAAAAAAAAGAAATATGCGTGATATTGGACAACTCATTTTGCAAACAAACTCTGAATCATATATTTCTATGATTGATAGTAAGTTTGGTTAGTCAGAATTTTGTGACATGTTTATTGCATGTATCATTATGCATGACTTACCCTTCTAGTGTGTTGAGTGGTTGGAGTGCAAGCTCTTCTAATGTATCTTCATCGAGACTTGCAGTTGTTTTCTAGAAACACTACACTAAGTGATTGTAAGAAATTATTTTGTAAAGAGAAATGTAACATACGTTCACAGTTAGTAAAATTGAGAAGTAGGGTGTGCTTAACATCGGACCTTTGGACATTTATTAATATATATGGGTTCATTTGTTTGTCAATGCATTTTATAGATAATGATTGACATTTGCAAAAAAAGATTATCAGCTTTGGTTTCAGGTCGCCTCTTCATGATGGCATTGCATTGTTTGAAAAGTTACAGTCACTTGTTATGGAGTGGGAAATTAATACCAAACTTTTTAGCATTACTTTGGATAATGCTTCAACAAAAAATACCTCAGTTGAATATCTAAGAAATCATTTATGTTTACATGATAATTTGCTTTGTGATGATGAGTTCTTTCATATTCGTTGTACTACACATATTGTTAATCTCATACTTCAAGATGGTTTGAAGGAGGTTGATTCTTTAATAATTAAAATTCGGGAGAGTATTAAATATGTAAAAGACTCGCAAGCGAGGAAGCAAAAGTTTATTGATTATATCAAACAGAGTTGTCTAGATGGAAAGAGAGGCTTGAGACAAGATGTTCCAACCAGATGAAACTCCACTTTTATCATGCTAGATAGTGCTATTTACTATCGACGAGCTTTTTAGCATTTAAAATTGGGTGATTCAAATTATAAGAATTGTCCAAGTAATGTTGAGTGGGAGAAAGTTGAATCTATTTAGAAATTATTGGCTCCTTTCTACTAGATAACATGTGTTATATATGAATCAAAGTACCCAACTACCAATTTATATTTTCCTTGTGTTTCTACAGCTTATGCATTGTTGAAACATGAACTCTTAAGTGGATATGAATGCATCAAAATAATGGCAGCATGAATGATAGTCAACTTTGAGAAACATTATTATAGATTTTTTGTTATACTGACTATAACTGTCATTTTAGATCCGCGATACACATTTGTTTTTGTTGAATGGTGTTATAGAAGACTATATGAAGGTGATTACCACCATAAATTAATAAATGTTAAAAAGAACTTATTCTCTTTATTTACAAACTATAGTTTAACTGTTAATGAATTAACAAGATAACATATACGTGCATCCCAAATGGTTGAAGTTGGTACATCATGAAGTACATCTACAACTATACTTAAGTCACAATTTTTCTAAGTATTACATTAAGAACTAGTTATATATTCAGTAAAGCCTAAATGTACTTCTTTTATTTTATAAATTTTCTATATTCACACACAGGATTTTGAGTCTTTTTAAGAGGAAATTATTATGCATAGGAAATTAGAGCTAGAAATTTATTTGGATGAGCTAAACCTAGATGCAAAGATTGATTTAGATATCTTGTATTTCTAAAAAGGCAACCAATATAGATTTTATGGTATATATGCTATGGCTCATGACATTTTGTGCATTCCTATAAGTACAGTGGCATCAGAAAGTGCTTTCAATAATAGCGGTAGAATACCAGATCAACATCGAAGTTCACTAAAGCATGATATTGTTGAGGCACTTGTCTGTGCAAAATTATTAGTTGTATGCAAAATATGGTGTTTTATTCTTCAACATTTTTTTATTTATCTTTTTTTTCATATTTACCAGTTAAGCTCAAATTCTTTTCTTTTTTTTTTTTGCAGTAGTTCATGACATAGAACTAGATGCTGTTATGGATGATATCCTTGATTTACATGTCACTCAAATTGATGTAGAACCGATTGAAAGTTCAATTATCAGATGATTCCAATTTAACATTTCATTTGGACATTTGGTTAACATACTTTTTTCCTACCTTTTTTAATTTGGACATTTGTTTGCTGTTTAATTTAGATATCCTATTAAGTGTTATGTGTGAAGTTAGAACTTATATGTTGGACATTTGGTTGCTGAAATGCTGCATAGTGAGGTTGTTTAGTTGCTGAAACAACATTTGATTGCTGTTTAATTTAGATATCATGCTAAGTGTTATGTGTGAAGTTAGAACTGGTGTGTTGGACAATTGGTTGTTGAAATGCTTCATAATGAAGTTGTTGTTTGTTTGCTGAAATAACATTTGGTTGTTGAAACAACATTTGGTTGCTATTTTATTTCAGTTGCATAGTGAAGTTGATGGCTACTTATTGTAAAATCTGTTCTATATTTCTGCTGTTCGGTTGCTGAAATTCTAACTTACTGCCTGCTGATTTTTGTTTTCTGAAGTTGATTTACAAAATACTAGTTGTTGTTTTTTGTTAGCTGCTATTTGATTTACAAAATTTGGGACGATAGCTGATGTTTTTTGTTTTTGTTTTTTGCTATTTGAATGGAAGTGAAATGAATTGAGGCTTTTCATTTGAAGTCTTTACTAGCTACTGCTTGTAATTTGTAATTGATGGGAGTCATATAAGTGATGAAGTGAGGATCTTCAGTGAAGTTGCTAGCTGCTGCTTGTAAATTATTTTTTGTATTACGGTTCTATTTGTTGTTCGCCTGTTCGGTTGCTGCTTTCTATTTCCTAAAATTCAAATGAGAAATTGAGGAGCTATGAATCATATAAGTGATGAAGCGATGATGATTAACCTTATAAAATGAAAGTGGGTGATGGCCGTTGGGAGTCGTATAAGTGTAAGTTCTTATGTGTTATACTGCAATTACAATTTACAACCATGTGACATTTATATTATCTTAGAAATTAGAAAGACTGAAAGAGCATATTAGCATAATAACTGAATAGAACATATATTAAATTAATATAATTTGTCACATTGGATGATAATTTGTTAATATTGATTAAACTTATATCTTACATCACAATGATCTTATTATGAGATTAATGATTTGGAGGGTTTACTTTGAGCAGAACAATATATTATTATTATATAATACATATTAAAATTTGCAACTTATATATTTTGTTTTATTGTAGGTTATTGCAGATTTGAAGTCGTTATTTTGAGGAGCATTTCAATATTTCTCTTATTCTCAAATTTAGATAATTAGATTTACTGTAAAGTTTTTTATAATTTATAAATTAAATTGAGCCAATGAGGTTATAATTGAAAGGATCAAATGGTCAATTGAGTTGTAACTTGTAAGAAATTTGAGATAATTGTAAACGAGTTGAGTTTGTATTTTATTTATTTAATTAAAAATTTTACTTATTGTTTAATTTTTTTATTTTTCATTTGACCCGAACTTGAGACTTGTCGGTTTTGGGTTTTGAAAATCGACCCGTTTATAAAAACGGTTCAGATTGATCCGAACCTGAAAAATGCAGGGTCATTCCCGGGTCAGATCCGAACTCGACCCGTAACTTGAAATTGACATTCCTACCCACCTCTTTGGTTAAACATAATATTAATTAGGGCTTCCAAAATCTCCCATTTAACCCGCTGAAAAATTAGGGCTTCCAAAATTTCTCTCGACTGCCGCTGTTGCCAGATTTGCTTGCGACCTCCTCCGACCTCCAAACACTCCCTAACCCTAGCTTAGCTAAAATTTGTGGATGGCGACACAGAAGGAGCAAGACATCCAGATGATGTTGGCTGCCCATGTGCACCTCGGAACCAAGAACTGCAACTTCCAGATGGAAAGATATGTTTTTAAGCGTCGGACTGACGGTAAGAGCGCAAGCCCGGCTCTTTCTACGCCTAGATCTATAGATTTTAGAGGCGCTTCTTATGATTTGCTAACCTTTCTTAGAAGTTGACACTCTGAATTTATCTTTTATTTTCGGAGCGACGCTTTATGTTACTTTATAATCATATATGTTGCAATTCTCATTAGTTCACGTCTCTCTTTCTGCACGTAACTTTCAATTAAAAAAATCATGGGCGATTTGTTAATTCTCAAATGGGGTGATTTGTTTATATTGCATCTTGTTGATTGTATGGCGTTAAGTTCAGTGGCAGTGTGATTGAAGGATTTGTTTCTTTCATATTGTATCTTTTTGGCCATTTTGTGTGTTTTTGTTATGACTAAGTTTTGAGGATACTGTCTTTTAAATCACAAGGTATGAGGCTATTCAGCCTTCAAAACGGTTTATGCGCATATCATCATTTATTGTCATCATCTTCATCATATTTACATGTTTAAACTATTTGTCAGGGTAATTTTTTTGGTATATTAGTGTATTGATATGCCCTCTAAACTTGAAATTTAGGGATATACATTATTAATCTTGGAAAAACTTGGGAGAAGATACAGCTTGCAGCTAGAGTAATTGTTGCCATTGAAAATCCTCAAGACATAATTGTCCAGTCTGCTAGGCCGTATGGTCAAAGGGCAGTCTTGAAGTTTGCCCAATACACTGGAGCTCACCCTATTGCTGGGAGGCATACCCCTGGAACTTTCACTAACCAGCTTCAAACATCCTTTAGTGAACCTCGTCTGCTTATTCTTACTGATCCAAGGACTGATCACCAGGCAAGTTGTCTATTTGCTTGTCGTATAGGGTTGCTTTCTAGAAATGCTATCTTAATCGTTTTGTGTGTTTATATTGTACAGCCAATAAAGGAAGCTGCTCTTGGAAATATTCCAACGATTGCCTTTTGTGATACTGATTCACCAATGCGGTTTGTTGATATTGGAATTCCTGCTAACAACAAGGGGAAGCACAGTATAGGTTGTCTCTTCTGGTTGTTGGCAAGGATGGTCCTCCAGATGCGTGGTACTATTGCTCCAGGACACAAGTGGGATGTTATGGCAAGTATTCATGTTTTTTTTTTTTTTGGTTTAATTATATACATCTATTGATGCTTGCAACTTATGTTTCATCGGATGGGCTGTTAATTTTCTTTTTTTCCCAACATAATATATCTTATTTAATTTTTTAAGTTAAAGTTGAGATTTTTAATGATATTGTAAGAAATAACTTACCCATTCAGGATGTTATGAAACCTTTTTTTTTATAAATATTTTCTTTGATGTTGTTTTAAGTTACTAATAAAATTTAATCCATGCCTCCATGGTGCATGTAGGTTGATCTCTTCTTTCACAGAGATCCTGAGGAAGCCAAGGAGCAACAAGAAGAAGGGGAGGCCCCTGTTGCCCCTGATTATGGTGTTGTAGCTGAATATGGTGGTATCATACCTTCTGAACAATGGCCTAGTGATTTTGCAAATGCTGCTCCTGATGTGGGAGCAGTTCCTGGCTTGGTTGCACCAACTGCTGGGGTTGAGTGGACTTCTTCTCAAGGTTTGAGCTATCATCTAATATTAATTATTTTAACTATTGTATTTGCTTGTCGTTGCATGCATATGAAGGGAACATTGTTTAAATAGATTCTAGTGGATTGCAATTTAGTTTGTTGAACTTTAGCTTTACAAATGTTTGCTACTAAGTAAGAGTTAATTATATTATTGAAATATTTTTTTGATATGATTTATGGATAATGCATTTAATATATTTACAATTTCAAATTTTTATCTAATGTATGCATGGAACGTAAAATCTATCCTGTAATTGAATCAACATTTATTAAAAACCTAACATGCAAGAATTGATGTTTACTTGTTCAGTATTCTTTGAGATCCTGTCCTGCCAATTAACTTTTATCTGACAAAAAGGTTAAATTGTTCTGTTCCTATACAAATTTAATCATATTTTATCAACTAAATGATGTATACAAATAACATTTTCCTTGAACTAAAATTCAACATTGTTAATGATCAAATTATAATAACACATATCCCCAATACCAACAAAAAATTATATAGTCAAATCAATTATAATCATAGATAAACAATATAAATATAATAGGAAAATAATTAAACCACATGCCTTGGTGTTGCCTTGACATTGTAAAGACGGGAAGCTACTTCCTCTTGCATAGGACCTAAATTTACAAATGCAGATAGTGATGAACAATATAAGCTAATGAAGACAAGATGCAATAAAACAAGCAGATAAAAGTTAAAGGCACTATGTAAAAGGAAGATATAGTGTTTAATGTGGCGGAAGATGGCTAATTCAGTGGCGCACTTATCTCTTCGGCTTCTACTGATTGTATTTATTTGCCTTCTATTGTTAATTTTGTATTTTCCATATGCATGTTGATAGAGAAGGGTGATGGTAGCTAGCTTTTGTAGCTTAATGACAATTAGTTGCCCCCTTCTATTTTTTTGGCGTCTCTAAAGGGTTTTCTAATTGTAAGTAGATTTAACTCTTGTAGGATTTAATAAAATCCTTTAATTTGGATTTAGTAAATCCTAAGAATTTTTTGGAATAAAATGTTGATAGAAAAGGGTGATGGTAGGTACCTTTTGTAGCTTGATGGTGAATAGGGGGCCCTTCTATTTCTTTGGCATCTCTATAAAGGGTTGTTTGGCTGTATGTAGGTTTTGCTCAAGTTGGATTTAATAAAATCCTTTCATTTGGATTTAGTAAATCCTATTGTTTGGAATGACATGTATTAAGTCTAACTAAATCTTCTATCTAGTTATTTGTTTAGATTTTATGATTCAAATAAATATATGATTTAAACAGACTTGAAAAATTTGCAAAAGCTTATGTTAATCTATTGTTATAAGAAATATCATATTGATAAGAAAAATCAGCACCAATTTTAATTTGACAAACTATAATCTACATCTTAAGTAGATCATACAACATCATCAAAAAGTTTTTATCCCCCCACCATGTGGGGTCGGCTACATGAATATGTTTTCTTTATCTTAAGCATAGCATAATAATCCTAAGAGTTGTTTGGAATGACATAATGGCTGAGTAGATCTTCTATTTAGCTATTTATTTTAGATATTTTGATTCAATTAAATATGTGATTTAAAGAGACATAAATTTTGTTAGGGCTTATGTTAATCCTATATTGACTAGAAAAATCATATTGATAAGATAAAATAGTAAAATTTTATTTTTATAAACTATAATCAACTTCTTAAGTAGATCATAAAATAACAACAACAAGACTTTATTCCACCACATGGGGTCGGGTACATGAATCATTTATCATCATATTAAGCAGAGCATTACAATCCTAAAAATTGTTTGGAATGACATATATTAAGGCTTACTAAATCTTCTATCTAGCTAGCCTTTTTTTTAATTTTAGGATTCAAATAAATATATGATTTAAAGAGACTTGAAAATTTTGTTAGAGCTTATGTTAATCCTATTTTGATAAGACAAATCATATTGATAGGAAAAAAACAGTTCCAATTTTATTGTTATAAACAATAATCGACAACTGTTTGTTTTAGATTTTAGGATTCATATAAATATATGATTTAAAGAGAGTTGAAAATTTTGTTAGAGCTTATGCTAATCCTATATTGATAAGAAAAAATAAGTACCAATTTTAATTTGATAAACTATAATCAACATCTTAAGTAGATCATACAACAACAACAGACCTTTATCCCACCACGTGGGGTCGGCTATATGAATCAAATTTATTCATCTTAAGCATAGCATACTAATCCATAATTATAACTTAGTAATTATTTATTAATTTTAAATTATTTGATAGTTTACCTATTGTTTAATTTAAAAATCATGAATAAGAACGTGAATCAATAAAAACATTATTTTTTGAATTATTATAACATAAATTTTAATGTTAATCTATTAGCATAATTATAATTTATCCATATTATTTTAGCTGTAATTATCAATCATATTTTTATTTTCTTAATATTAGTCTAATTATCATATATTCATTATATGGATATTAACGAAGTTGACAATGTGTGAAGCAGAAATGCTCGTGAGAGTGGTGGTGATAGATTTCAATAACCACATTAAATCTTAAAGCAAATGAAGATATGAGATATAGCACAACTTTTGTATTTATCTACTCCAAAAAAATTCAATTTCATTTGCGATTGATTTTCTCATTCACAATTGAAGAAGTGTGTACTGAAAAATTGAAAATTATTTGGTATTTCTTTTGGTTTAAATTTCTCATGAATTGTGGATAGAAAGTCTAATCTTGCTAAATTTCTTTCTCTTTCTCCATGTTGTAAAGATGATGATTAAATGCTTGTTTTAACATTTAATTTTCAACTTTTGCAGTAACAGCTGATTGGGACGCTGCTGCGGCTCCAGTTGCAGAAACTGATGCATCTCCTGTTGCTGCCCCTGGTTGGGATCCCGCTTCAGCTCCTGCTGCCACTGGTTGGGATTAGGATTATTTGATAGGACCTTTGTGGGTTAAGTTTTTTTTTTTTTTTGGACATTTAGGTCATTTAAGGCAAACTCACACACACAACGCATACACAAATATTCAAATCTAAGACCTCTTAGTTGGAAGCATAAGCTCTCAACCAACAGGTCAAGATGAACTGTGTTGTGGGTTAAGTTTCAATTTCACATTTCAAATTTGGTGTTCAGTTTCACTTTTAATTGATTTTGTTTACTTAACTTTCAGGGAGGGAAAGTTTTAGAGTTTTTGACTTCGCTTATTTTATTGCTTCCTTCTGTTTTTATGTAAGCTTCTAGCCCTCTTTAGATTTGTTGTTGAATTGTCATTCTTTTTCTCCATTATTTATGGAGTTCATGATTTGATTTATTTTTGTTGCTTTTTTTTATGACTTCGTTTGGGATGACTTTCTTACTGTTTCTTCATTAAAAAGCTGCTATAAGAAGCATTAAGAAAACCGTTCTAAATGAAGGCTATATTGGTACTATTACATTTTTTTCAAAATTTCTTTCAATGTGGTTATTGAAGTATGGATTTTGCTTGTTATTGTTGTTTTGAATATGATTATTTATATATAAGATGAATTTGATTATTCCATTATTGAATGTGGTGATTGATTATATGAAATTGATTGTAATGATTTCTAAGTGTGTTATTCACATTCAATAGGAGGATGAGAATACAGTGGACCTGCAACGGTGCAACCTTTGGTCTCTCCACTGTCCCCAGTAAAATATCTGTCGTAGTCAGATAAGGATTCCTTCCATTGAGACCCCAATAAACATATAATTCATAATTTTTTTTTATTTCTCAAGTTAAATTTATGTTACTAAAGTTAAAAGATTTTTTTTAAAACTTTATGTGATTAAATCAATGCCACGTGTACAAATCAAATAAGAATGTAAAGGCACAAGAATTTCACTTGAAAACTCTGAAATTAGAAATATTATGTAGTGGGGTGTAAATGAGTTGAGCTAAACCTTTTTAGTTCTAGTTGAGCTCGAGCTCGACTTGTGCTTGATCGTTTACTAAGTTTGAGCTTGACTTGTTAATAAATTTATAGGTTCATGCTCTGCTCTATTGCTTGAGCTCATTTGACTTTCAATAATTTATAAAGAGTTGTCACTCCTGTCTGTCAACATAAATTAGTAAATCAATTTCAGGTTAAACATCCATAATTAAATCATAAATATTTTATTTTAAGGAAAGTTGTACATAGGGTATTATATTTAAAAAGCTAACATGTATTAATTAGTGGTAATAAATATTATTCATTGCTTCATGCAAATATCATATTTATCTTATATTAGTCTTATCATTTTTCTATGTAATGTAAGTTAATAATATGTATGAAATGCACTAATGTATAAAATACAAGTAATTTAAATACTATTCATTTTAGAAAATCACAACAATTGATCAATTTGATGAAATTCAATAATATTAGTATAAATGAACGTGCACAAATTGCACTTCATATAAATGAATTGAAGTAATAAAGCCATGTCATAAAAGAAGCAAACAATGGTACATTTAAGCTTCGTTTGGGACAGTTTTTTTACTGTTTTCTAAAACGGAGTTTTATTACAATTTTTTATTTTTGTACTAAAACTCCGTTTTAAAAAGTAATAAAAAAGCCGTCCCAAACGAAGCCTTAATTTTATTAAAATTTTAATGATGAGCAATAAAGAGAATTATGTAAATAATGAAAATAATTTTGTGGCCCAATATTTTAATAGTGGTGTGAGAGGATGTCAAAAAAGCTCAGAAATTTGAATGTGTAAATGTGAAAATTATCACATCTTCCATGGTTAGATATTCTCATGGACCTCTCATAACACCTCCAAATCATAATGCTAAAATTATTGTAAAACAAAATTAAACATGCAAGTAAAAACATCTACAAAAGAAATTTTGATTGGCCTGATTTTTGGATAAAATAAATATTTGTATTAGTTAGCAGGAAAATAAAATATCATAAGTAGAAATGTGAAGATATGATAGAACATAAATATAACTAAATGATAATGCGGTAAAAATATTTTCATTTTAATATTCATTTAATTTTCATTTGCATCTGTTCTATCTGGTTTGAAAGAATTGAAATAATATTGAAATGACCATGATAAGGAATTTAAACAAAGATTTATATTGATTAGTTTATATTTATAATATCTTAAGCTCAAATGACCCTCATACTATAATGTTACATATCAATGTATACCATAGAGGCATGACACCGAGCCATATTTATCAATTTATTATTGGTACATCATCACAAAATTATCCTGATCGGGCACAAATCTCGAGGAAAAATTCAAGTTGGAAACTTCCAAAATTAAATTTGGGATCATTTGAATTTCGATTTCAGCAAATTTATAATCAAACTGAACGTCTTAAAAATACAAACCCAACGACACCAAATTCGACTCAATCGGAGCCCAAATGGGTCCAAATCAAGGGTCCAAAGCACTGTTGGAAGGTTCGAACCACAATTTGGGTTACCAAATGGTTTCCAAATGTGACATGCTTACAAACGAATCGAGTGGCTCGACAAGACGAATCCAACGAGCCCAAGATCACTGAATTCTGACATCTTTAAGACCTTCAAATGTCCAGTGAATGGTCCACGATCAAGGGATTCAACATCGGCCGTCCATCCAAACCACTCCCCATTTACCCTTAATCTTCATCAAATTTAAGGGCCATGTCACTCTAGAAAATTTACAAATAGACACCTCCTTCCTCTTGAAAGGGGCCCCAAGCTTAAGAGAGCAATAGAGAGATCGGAGATCGCTCTTGCCCCCCAGCCTGAAATCTTCATCAAATTTCGGCCCTCCCCATTTACCCTTAATCTTCATCAGAAATCGGACTTATGTCAGACAACGACCTGAGGCCCGAAATTCTATCGGGCCACCACTTGAGGCCCAGAGTTCTGCCGGACCACCACCGAAAGCCAGGACTTTTGTCGGACCACCACCTGAGGCTCAAATTTCTCTCGGACCACCACCTGAGGCCCGGACTCCTGTTGGACCATCACCTAAGGCCCGAACTTCTGCCATACCACCACCTTAGACCTGGACTTCTACCAGACCGACACATGAGGCCTGAACTTCTGCCAGACCTTAACTTGAGGCTCAGACTTTTGTTGGACCATCACTTGAGGATCGAACTTATGTCGGACCAACACATGAGGCCCTGACTTCTACCGGACCACCACCTAAGGCTCAGACTTCTCCCAGACCACCACCTAAGGCTCGAACTCATGCCGTACCACCACCAGAGGCATGGATTTCTGTTATACCACCACCTAAGGCCCAGACTTCTACCGGACCACCACCTAAGGCTTAGACTTCTGCTGAACCATCACCCGAGGCCTGAACTTTTACTGGACCACCACCTAATGCCTAGATTTATGCCGGACCACCACCTTAGTCCCGAACTTCTACTGAAACATCACCTGAGGAACATACTTCTGTCAGACTACCACTAGACACCTGGAGTTCTGTCGGACCGCCACTCGACGCTCGGAGTTCTGCCATACCACCACCTAACGCCCAAAGTTCTGCCGGTCCACCACCTGACACTTGGAGTTTTATCGGACCACCACCTGAGGCATTAAGTTCTGTCAGACCACCACTTAAGGCCCAGACTCCTACAAGATCACCACCTGAGGCTTGGAGTTCTGTCGGACCACCCCTGAGGCTCAAACATCTGCAGGACCACCACCTGAGTCCCGGAGTTCAACTGGACCACCACCTAACATCTGGAATTATATCGGACCACCACCTAACCCTCAAATTTCTGTCCAAACTCAACTTGACGCTCGGAGTTCTACATGACCACCACCTGACCTCCGGAGTTCTATCGGTCCACCATCTGACACCCATATTTCTCTCGGACCACCACGTGAGGCCCAAACTTCTCTTGGACCACCACCTGAGGCCCATACTCATATTGGACTATCACCTGAGGCCTGGACTTCTCCCGGACCACCATCTGAGGCCCAGACTCTTGCCGGACTACCAGCTGAGATTCAGACCATGTCAGACCACCACATGAGGCGCAGACTCTTGTCGGACCACTAGCTGAGGTCCGTACTTTTGCCGGAACACCACCCGAGGCCCGTGCTTCTTCCAGACCACCACCTGAAGCTCGAACTTCTATCGAACCACCACTTGATGCCTAAAAGTTCTTCCAGACCACCACCTAATGCCCAGAGTTTCGCGGGACCACCACCTGAAGCTAAGTATCATCCCTGGTTGTCATTAGATTTCAACTTTTATGTTGACATTTGTAATCTGATCGCCCTCAGAGACGTGTCAGCCCACTATAATCTACCCAAATACTATTGGAATCATTTTAGGCTGGGTCAGGCCCCGTGATTTTTTCCCTTCCAGGATTTTCCACGTAAAAAATCTTGTATTCTTTGTGTGTGAGCTTGATATATGTACAACGCAAAGACATAAAATTATAACCTTATCTCCACGTATATTCTAGCCTGCAACATTTATAGCTTTATCAATGTTAATATTTACCTTATTATTGACAAGTAGAATATTTTATTAAAATGTATTTCTAACTTAATTAAAATTAAAAACAAAATATTCACAAAAATAAAACAATTTGAAGAGTGCTTACTTTATTGAATAAATTTAATTTTATGTCATTTTCTTTAGTTTTCATGAATTAAAGAAAATCTCATCCTTTAAAAAAATGAAAATTAAAAAGAATTTTTGTATTTCTTAAACTCGTTTATTAATGTAGTTAAAGATTGAATTAATATGTTGATTTCACTTTATCATATTTGATGTTTTTTTTTATATAAATTAGATCCAAGTTTGCAATAATTATTTAAAAAACCTTATTTTTTTGGAAAATTTTCATTCAAGTTTATTTTGATTAAAATATCATGTAAAGAAATGCATTAAAATGTCAATGTTTCATGAAAGGAAATCTTGAAATTCCATTAAAAAAACTGACATTTTAACCTTAGGTAAACATATGAAATTTTGTTTGTTTAGGATAATGCTACATAAATATGAGCCCGCATTTTAATTAAATTTATACACTTTAATTAATTTAATATGGGGGTATTAGAAGGTTTGAAATTAAGTAATAGCTAAAGACATAAAGCATAACAACATAGCAAAATAATAATAATAATAATAATAATAATAATAATATAAAGTAGTTGAAGAAAATAATTAATTAAAACATAATTTGAGAAAAAAATTTAACGAAGGGTAGATTTAGGTTTTGTTTGGGACATCTTTTTTATTGCTTCATGAAACAGTTTTTTAGTACAAAAAAGTTATTTCATCAAGCAATAAGAAAGCTATTCTAAATAAAGTTTTAGACTTCATTTGAGATGACATTCTTATTGCATCTTAAAGCATGTTTCTAATACTAAAATTAAAATTTGTATGCAAAAAATTTGATTTAAGAAGTAAGAAAGTCATCCCAAATGAAGATTTAGCCTTTGTTTGGGATGACTTTTTTATTACTTCTTAAAACATCTTTTAGTACAAAAATTTTAATTTTTGTACATATATGAAGGCAGCTTGAAGAAGCATTAAAAAAACTATCTCAAACGAAGCCTTAGAGTGGTGTGGAAGCAAATGCAAGAATAGCATGAAAGTAATACAACATGTAAGAAGAACTAAGAAAATTAATAATAAGTCAATGTCCATGTTCTCTTACAATGGAAAATATATATCATCTTTCTATGATGCATCTTTTTATTCTATATTAAACAAAATAGAACAAAATATATTTTGTACTATTTATCTTATATTTAGATAATAAAATTATAGGTGCAAGTAGTGGTGAAAAGGAAAGATGAGTGTTGGAATGTTCCTTATACCAAAAATGATTAGATGACCCACATCATAGAGTGCCAATTAGAATATAATGCAAGTCTAATATTTAATATAAGAATATAGAAGAAAATAATATAAGTGAAGATATGTACAAATAAATAATTCATGAAACTTATAAAAATCCTAATATATAAAAGCAATCACCACTCATATGCAAGCTTACATTTATAAAAAGATTTGAGAAACATTAATTTATAAAGAAGATTACCTATTTTTTGAAGCAACAAGAGTAGAAAGAAAAACCTTCAAATGCCCATTATATACTTAAGTCGCCCCTTCTACATCCAAAGGGTTGCCCCTTCTCATTGAAACCAACAAAGAAAAGTTAAATCAATGATCTAACAATTGAAGAAGCCAAGCAAGCTTATGAATCAAATGAGGACACCAATTGTTGCAATGCAACTTATAGAATCTTGGAAAAATCTATCTTGCACTACAGTAAAAATAGCAAAAGCGATAAAAATAATCAACTTGATACTTAAAAAAATAAATAGCGCACATATGTAAACATAAATTTATTTAATATTTGACAAATAGAAATGAAGAATACTACATTTTTTTTTTAAACCAGAACAATCGAGAGCTCAATCAAAAATAGCGAAATGAAAATCATAGTAGAGCTTAGGAAAAATCAATGTGGGCCATCTAACCATTCAAATAGTTGGGCATTAGTTCGACAGAAGTGTTCAAGCGATGGTCTGGCAGTGGTGTTAGGGTTGAGCTTTGAGATATTTCAAATCTTTAAGTTCTCTTTAATCTTAAGTTGAATGTTCTTCTCATATTGAGAGTGGGGGCCTATTTATAAATTTTTAGAGTGTTATGCTTTGTAAATATAACCAAAATGCGAACAATCTCTATTAGACAATCATATTGATTTACTTTATCATATATCATTCTTTCAACATTTAGGTTCTTTAATGATGCCAAAAGTATGCAATCACGAACTCGTTGGATTCAACTTGTTAAGATGTCAATTTGATTATGAGCATACAAAATTCAAACATCCAATTAATATCCTAAGTTTATAACTATGTTATAAGCACTCGAGCTTGACTGTTTTGAACTCAAATCTAATTACTTTTAGGATTATTGGGTTTATCTCATCGGCCCCATCAGTTTAATTGTAAATTTGTGAAAATTAGTGTTCATATAGTGCATAAATGAAATTTGAAAATTTTCCACATCAATTTGGCATGAGATTTTTTCTATAACAAATCAAACTTCATTATTTAAAATTTAGGCATATATAACATCTATACTATGATCTAAAAAATGGTTTATTAATTTCTTAATATATTATACCACTACATATGATCATGTTGACTTCAAGTGGACCATTATTGTCTAGTCAAGACGTTTAGTTTGATTATAAGTACACTTAAATTAGTGTTCGGATGGTCCGGATTTTAATTTTGAAAGTTTCCAATTCAAATATGCCTCAAGATTCATGCCCCATCTAGTCTATTTTTGATGACATATCAATTATAGTGTTATATAAATCAATTGCAGGGATCTTAAAATTCACTTGTTTTTGATTAAAAGATAAATAAATATAAAGTATCTTATCAAGGAAGTTAGAAGCTCTCTAGTTCATATTCAATGAATAAGAATTAGTCAAAATCAAAAGAATTCAAAATAACATATCATTTTGTCCTTAGATTTTCTCACCACCCTGTCATGTGCCCTAGGTTTATGTTTAGAATAACTTCTAAATACTTACAACATTATAGTTATCTTACTCATATTTAAATTGCATCTTCTAATTACTTAACTAAACATCCCTTAAGCTATAGGCCAAAAATGACTCTAAAGGGCTACTTGGTAACATTGATTATCCTAAATCTTGCTAAATAGAAATAACACGAACTTTAAATCCTACATAATATTAAATATAGTTTCTTTCCTTTTTTGCTTTAAAATGACATATTTATTAAATTTGTGAATTATGTGAATTTAGGAGATTTAACAAAAGAAAGAGCACAAAAGGGGATAAAGATCGAGATATACATTTCCTTTTTTATTTAACTTATCTCATAGAATATTATGTTTTATCATTTTAATGCATTATTAATTAATTATTAATTAAAAAAAGTAATATACAATGCATAAGGATTAATTAACTTTATTTGTATTGATAAAAAAAGTTTAAATCAGAATTGGTGTTTCATTATTTCAATACATTTCTAATTAATTATTAGTCGAATATTATACTTAATTAATCTTGATACAGTACCTGAGTTTTTTTTTTTTTTTGATCAGCATAAATATATTGGTAATTTTTCAACGGCCCCACCTCTTTGGTTAAGCATAGTATTAATTAGGGCTTTCAAAATGTCCCATTTAAGCCGCTGAAAAATTAGGGCTTCCAAAATTTCTCTCGACCGCCGCCATTGCCAGATTTGCTTGCGACCTCCTCCGACCCCCAAACACTCCCTAACCCTAGCTTAGCTGAAATTTGTGGATGGCGACACAGAAGGAGCAAGACATCCAGATGATGTTGGCTGCCCATGTGCACCTCGGAACCAAGAACTGCAACTTCCAGATGGAAAGATATGCTTTTAAGCGTCGGACTGACGGTAAGAGCGCAAGCCCGGCTCTTTCTACCCCTAGATCTATATATTTTAGAGGCGCTTCTTATGATTTGCTAACCTTTCTTAGAAGCTGGCACTCTGAATTTATCTTTTATTTTCGGAGCGATGCTTTATGTTACTTTATATCCATATATATTGCAATTCTCATTAATTCACTTCTCTCTTTCTGCACGTAACATTCAATTAAAAAAATCAAGGGCGATTTGTTAATTCTCAAATGGGATGATTATTTTATATTGCATCTTGTTGATTGTATGGCGTTAAGTTCAGTGGCAGTGTGATTGAAGGATTTGTTTCTTTCATATTGTATCTTTTTGGCCATTTTGTGTGTTTTTGTTCTGACTAAGTTTTGAGGATACTGTCTTTTAAATAACAAGGTATGAGGCTATTCAACCTTCAAAATGGTTTATGCTCATATCATCATTTATTGCCATCATCTTCATCATATTTACATGTTTAAACTATTTGTCAAGGTAATTTTTTGGTATATTAGTGTATTTATATGCCCTCTAAACTTGAAATTTAGGGATATACATTATTAATCTTGGAAAAACTTGGGAGAAGATACAGCTTGCAGCTAGAGTAATTGTTGCCATCGAAAATCCTCAAGACATAATTGTCCAGTCTGCTAGGCCGTATGGTCAAAGGGCCGTCTTGAAGTTTGCCCAATATACTGGAGCTCACCCTATTGCTGGGAGGCATACCCCTGGAACTTTCACTAACCAGCTTCAAACATCCTTTAGTGAACCTCGTCTGCTTATTCTTACTGATCCAAGGACTGATCACCAGGCAAGTTGTCTATTTGCTTGTCGTATAGGGTTGCTTTCTAGAAATGTTATCTTAATCGTTTGATGTGTTTATTTGTACAGCCAATAAAGGAAGCTGCTCTTGGAAATATTCCAACGATTGCCTTTTGTGATACTGATTCACCAATGCGGTTTGTTGATATTGGAATTCCTGCTAACAACAAGGGGAAGCACAGTATAGGTTGTCTCTTCTGGTTGTTGGCAAGGATGGTCCTCCAGATGCGTGGTACTATTGCTCCAGGACACAAGTGGGATGTTATGGCAAGTATTCATGTTTTTTTGAGTTTAATTATTTACATCTGTTGATGCTTGCAACTTATATTTGATTGGTTGGGTTGTTAATTTTCTTTTTATCCCAACATAATTTATCTATTTTAATTTTTTAAGTTAAAGTTGAGATTTTTAATGATATTGTAAGAAATAACTTACCCAATCAGGATGTTATGAAACCTTTTTTTTTAATATTTTCTTTTATGTTGTTTTAAGTTACTAATGAAATTTAATCCATGGTGCATGTAGGTTGATCTATTCTTTCACAGAGATCCTGAGGAAGCTAAAGAGCAACAAGAAGAAGGGGAGGCCCCTGTTGCCCCTGATTATGGTGTTGTAGCTGAATATGGTGGTATTATACCTTCTGAACAATGGCCTAGTGATTTTGCAAATGCTACTCCTGATGTTGGAGCAATTCCTAGCTTGGTTGCACCAACTGCTGGGGTTGAGTGGACTTCTTCTCAAGGTTTGAGCTATCATCTAATATTAATTATTTTAACTATTGTATTTGCTTGTGATTGCATGCATACGAAGGGAACATTTTTTCAATAGATTCTAGTGGATTGCAATTTAGTTTGTTGAACTTTAGCTTTACAAATGTTTGCTACTAAGTAAGAGTTAATTATTTGATTGAAATATTTTTTTGATATGATTTATAAATATATAATGTATTTAATATATTTAAAATTTCAAATTTTTATCTAATGTATGCATGGAACGTAAAATCTATCATGTACTTGAATCAACATTTATAAAAACCTAACATGCAAGAATTAATGTTCACTTGTTCAGTATTCTTTGGGATCATGTCCTGCCAATTAACTTATATCTGACAAAAATTTTAAATTGTTCTGTTCATATACAAATTTAATCATATTTTATTAACTAAATGATGTATAGAAATAACATTTTCCTTGAACTAAAATTCAACATAGTTAATGACCAAATTATAATAACACAAATCCCCAATACCAACAAAAAATTATCTATTCAAATCAATTAAAATCATAGATAAACAATATAAATATAATAGGAAAATAATTAAACCACATGCCGTGTTGGTGTTGCCTTGACAGTGTAAAGATGGGAAGCTTCTTCCTCTTGCATAGGACCTAGATTTACAAATGCAGATAGTGATGACCAAAATAAGCTAATGAAGACAAGATGCAATAAAACAAGCAGATAAAAGTTAAAGGCACATTGTAAACGGAAGATATAGTGTTTAATGTAGCAGAAGATGGCTATTTCAGTGACGCACTTATCTCTTCGGCTTCTACTGAATGTATTTATTGGCCTTCTATTGTTAATTTTGTATTTTCCCTATGCATGTTGATAGAGAAGGGTGGTGGTAGCTAGCTTTTGTAGCTTAATGATGATTAGGCCCCCCCTTCTGTTTCTTTTATAAAAATTGAACTTGAATCTAAGTTTAATTTTGCAATCAAAGAACTCCCAAGGGTTTTGAACGGAAACTTAAATTTAAGAGAAGATGACGGTAGTTCATATTGACAATAGAAATTCTTTAACCTTCTTTCTCTGATCTTTAAGAGTAGATTTGAATGGTTATGCTTTGAAGTTTCAAGAGTTAAATGAAATTCCAGGATTGTATATTAGGAGAATTACAAATCATTTTTTATTAGTTGTTTGCTTCTGACTTAACTATATTTCCAAGCAAGTTCATTTAGGTAAACTTTAAGTTTGCTTATTTAGTAGGTATAATAATGCAATTATGTTAGCAAATTTTGGAAAATAATTGCAGGTTATCATCACCATTTCCAAAACCTAAAGAACATGTGCACATGGTAAAACTGAACAGCATAATCATAGAATGTGGTTTTATTTTTTGAATCTGAATTTTGCTCGTCAGTGACCTAAAACCTAGAAGGAGCAATAGAACGGTAGATTTGAAATTTTTAAAAACTTTTGATATCAATCTTCATCATAGATGGTCTATAATTTATCCTATAAACTGTAAAATACTATTTCTCCGTCTCCTTATCTGTGAAGTGAGGACAACTCTCCACCAACTAAAAATTCAATTTCATTTGCGATTGATTTTCTCATTCATAATTGAAGAAGTGTGTACTGTGGCACACCCTTATTATGATAAAAAATTGGAAATTATTTGGTATTTCTTTTGGTTTAAATTTCTCATTAATTGTGGATAGAAAGTCTAATCTTACTAAATTTCTTTCCCTTTCTCCATGTTGTAAAGATGATGATTAAATGCTTGTTTTAACATTTAATTTTCAACTTTTGCAGTAACAGCTGATTGGGACGCTGCTGCGGCTCCAGTTGCAGAAACTGATTTGCCTCCTGTTGCTGCCCCTGGTTGGGATCCCGCTTCAGCTCCTGCTGCCACTGGTTGGGATTAGTTGATAAGACCTTTGTGGGTTAATCAGCATTTTGTGGAACATGGTTGAGCAAACGTTGAAGTTTTAGTTAAGTTTATCCAATTTGCTTGATTTATGAATCATGGACCGAAAGATATGTTATTTTACCCTCCTTTTTCATTGCATGTTTTCAGGTTCAGAATTCTGCATTTTTAGAGAAAGTAGAATATAATAGCTGAACATATTTTTGTTTGAGAGGATTGCTTACTGGGGTAAATATCGTTCAGCTTGTCAGTTTCTATCTATAAAAGAATTTGTGGTTTACTTCGGTTGGCTTTTTTACCAATATTTTAAAAATAACGGTTATATTTCTGAATGGTAAGTTTCAATTTCACATTTCAAATTTGGTGTTCGGTTTCACTTTTAGTTGATTTTGTTGACTTAACTTTCAGGGAAAATGTTGGAGTTTTTGAGTTTGCTTATATTATTTCTAGCTTCTGTTTTATGTAAGCTTCTAGTCCTCTGTAGATTTGTTTTTGAATTTTCTTCTTTTTCTCCATTATTATGGTGGAGTTCATGAGCTGATCTATTTTTTGCTGTTTTTACTGCTTCTTAAAGTAACTTTTAAATAAAAAATCTTATTGCTTCTTCAAATTTATCTCAAATAAAGGCTACATTAGCACTGTTACATCTTTTCAAAATTTCTTTCAATGTGGTTATTGAAGAATGGATTTTGCTTGTTATTGTTGTTTTGAATATGATTATTTATAAGATGAATTTTATTATTCCAATATTGAATGTGGTCATTGATTATAAAATTGATTGTTATGATTTCTAAGTGTGTTATTCACATTCAACAGGAGGCTCAAAGGTGTTAGCCAAAATATTTTGGCACTTTCTCCCTCCCTAGCCATCACATGATTTTGTCCTCTTTGTTTCAAGGGAACTATTTTCAGTTGATTTATATTCATGTCCTCTTTGTGACAGAGGAATGGCTATCCTTTTGTAACATAAATTTAAGGAATCTCAATTTCAAACCATTTATAAAGTTTTTAGATATCTAAAATCAAATTTGGGAAAATTGATTTTTTTAACAAAATATTAATGGTTTTGGTTTGAGTATATGGGATCACTAGTGGATAGGATGTATTTATAGATTTTTTTGTAGCATTGGAAGAAAGTTTGATAACAAACCAAGTATTTTATTGGATGAATAATCAAACCAAGTATTCTAGTCACTTATTTCCTATAATTTTTAAATCTATAAGAAATGAAATTTTGTTGATGTGCCTCGAGAAAAAATAAGTGAATTCAATTGGGCTCATCAATTAATGTAGGCTTAATTTGGGATAATTTTTTATTACTTATTAAAATGACTTGTTAATGCAAAAAATTAATATTTTTATATTAAAAAGTTGCATTAACAAGGAAAAAAAATGTCCCTAATGAAGTGACTTTCAACCTATTATTAAGATGCTTTTCCATCAATTATTTTTTTATGTTATTTATGTTAATAACTCGATTAACATAAATCCATGTTTGTATTGATGAACCACCAAATTCTTTATGAGTAAAGAATTTATGAGATTAAAATGCATGCGGAGAATACCATTATTATATATTGAACGTATAAAACATTTTCAGCGTTAAAAAATTCCTCTAACAATTGTAGGGGCAGAAGGAAAAGGAATAGAACAATTACTGAATATAAAATTAGTCAACGTATTCAGAGTAAATGGGGATGTAGCTCAAACGGTAGAGCGCTCGCTTTGCATGCGAGAGGTACGGGGTTCGATACCCCGCATCTCCAGTATCTTTTATTATTAAATTTCAAGATTTGTTTTTTTTATTTTTGCCTATCTGTTTATCATTAAAAAAAAGAAAAATAAAAATTAAAAAAAGAGCTAGTGTACCATAGAAAAAAAATAATTTGTTTATTTATGAAAAGTTCCTATTTAAAAAATTATCATGCTATTATATTTAGCATGAAAAAATTATTATTATTAACCTTACATCCCCATCATTTAATTATAATTAAAAAATAATAATTTTTTATAGTCATAAAAAAATGTGAAAATATTTAATCATCTTCAATATAAAATCACTTATTTTTTTTCATTTCACAATATTATTATGAATGCGCTATAAAAATATACCATTTTCATAGCAAAAAGAGATGGATTTGATTCAGTTATATTATATTGATGTGTATTTCTTCAGAGTTTTTATAGAGTGTTAATTTTGTGTGGATTCTCATTGTACCGATCAATGGAGTTGTATTATTTTTTCGGACCTCAATTTCAACTGTTGAGCTTGTCGGGGGTTTGCAGGGGTTCCTTCCACTGCTCAAGTTTAATTTTTTTTTTCAGGTACAATCGTGAAGCGCTGCGACGCTGTGTCCTTGAGCGCTGCACCACTATAATGTCTAATTGGAGGTAGATAAAGAGCAGAGTGCAACAACGCTCTAAGCCCGACGCAACGACGCTATGACTCATATAGGAGACAGAGAGTGAAACATTAAAACGCTCTAAACCCTGGTGTTGTGACGCTAGCAGACAGATTGGAGACAGAGTGAAGCGTTGTGATGCTCCAAACTTGGGTCTACGAGTTGGGTTGAACAAAATTTTTTCTCATTTTTCATGAAGAGTTGCATCCTTTGGTGATTTTAATGTGTTTATCTTTGGTTGTTCATGAAAGAGAGAATGGTGCATTAAGTTTTTTTTTTCCCTCCAGTCATCAACAAACCAAGCACCATGCCAAATCCTCTTAAAATTAAAAGAATATCTTTAATTACATCATATTCAACCAATTTCCCCTTGTAAAAACTTGATATCAGACTACAGACCGGCATAGCTTCCCCACATAGAGAAGAAGAAACCAAGACAATAACACAACAGACAAAGCATCTTTCCCTTCATATAATTGAGAACAACACCCAAAGCAAAGGAACCAATCTCAAGGAAGCATGAAGCAATCCATGAGCTCTCAGTGCATCAGAGCTATAGAAATAGTAGTAAGGGTAGGAGAAACCTCCTCTCTCCTGCCCGCTGGATGGAGAAGAAGAAGATGAATATGGTGATGATGAAAATGACCATGAAGGAGTTGATGGCGGCAGCGGCGGCGGCGGCGGCGGCACCTTCTTTGCGGGTGGCGGCACTGATGGAACCAAATATATGGAAGCTTTTGGAGGCGGAGAAGGTGGTGAACAAACTATAGGACAAGTACCACAGTCGCTTACACACCACAAACTTGTCTGGGGGGACTTTGCAGCCATGTCTTCCTCTGATCTTCCATTGCCAAACACCAAGAGAACTGTAACAATTGCCATTGCTGCAACACGGGACATCTTAACCGGATGATAATTGCTTGGTTCCTATGATACTTATATGCCTCCAGTCGAGGACACCAGAAGTTTACATTCCCTGACTTCCTTAGTGTTTAAGATTAAAAAGATGCTTTCTGTCTTATAATACGCTGAGAAAATTATTTATGCTTAAGCTGAGAGAGAGACCAAGAATCTGATACCAAATGTTTTTCTTACATTTGGGTCATATATTTCTTCCATGATAATCACATAGAAAGTAGCTTGAAGAGTTAGTTGCCTGTTGGTCAAGTTGAAGCCTAAGTTGGATTGGTTCCACCAACTTGACCGCATTCAAGTTAAGTCGACTCCATTCAAGTTAAGTCGACTCGATTTCCTCGGTTTTCATTCAAAAACAACTCGTTAAGTCTATAAATAAACTTTTCATAATCAGGCGACCGCAACAAAGTGGGCTAATGTAGCCTATTGAGTTGACCCTAACCACTACTCAAGTGGATGGCTTCTTTATCAACAAAAGACTTATCTATTTATAAACGCTAAGCCATCAACTTCTTAGTAGCTCAATGAATGACTTCTTCAAATTGGACATTCCAATTGAGCTTCACGACTTGTATTTTGCCTTATTTTTTGTATTGTAAAGTATGTATCTCTTTCTCTCTCTCTCTCAATTTCTTAGCTCTCATCATTCAATATTTTTAGTATAAATTTGAATTCAATACCCTAATCATAAGAGAACTCTAGGCCATCATTGAAGAGTTAATTGACTCATTTTGCAAGTGGTAATACATTAAAAAGAACTATAAGCAAGCATCATTGGCATTCCAGTGCAGTTTGGTGCCTAAAACATGTTAAAATGTTTATATTAGAATGCAAAAGTTGGAAGCTTAAGTAGGGAGTAAAGTAGCAGCATATCTAAAGGGAAAGGAAAGGATAGAAGCATCTACAAGTCATGGAATCTCACTTAGTGCTATAAGGTTTTGTTCTGTCACCATTTGCATAATCATAAGCTGCTATTCTAAGATGCTTTTAACAATTTGGGACAGCTTTAGACCCATGCTTTTTCCCTGCTTTCAAGAGTTTTTTTAACGAAAAAGCAACTTTACAGAGCAGTAAAAAAGCCGTCCAAACGAAGCTTTAGAATGTATTGATTTTTGCAACCTGGTGAACGAACCTCAACAAGGTTTTTCTTCCAGTATTTAGAAGGCCCGAGGTGCTAGGATGGCCTAGGGCTACACTTATCAATGCTTCATTGCTTCCTTACGATGACGACCCCCCTATTTGTCGAGTACATATAATCTTGCCTTATTTTTCATCTCTAGATTTATTGCTTTTAAACATTTGGATTATGTTTTTATATGTAGCAAAACACTTCTCATGATTTTTTTTAATAAGGCTTACTGAAAGATCATGTCAGCATTTTTATTTATTAATTTATCTATCATTTCTAAACAATTATTTATATAATATAAAATTAAAATTAAAATTAAATAATAATCATGACCTAACAATGACTCCTAATTTATGTATATTCCATTGAACATCTCTAGGTTATATAGTGGGTTTGTTGATATTTAATTGTGATTCCTAATTTTTGTACCTTCGATGGAACATTACTATGATTGAGTATTTATTGATATCTTATGAAACCAAAATGATGCTAAGAGTTAATTATTTTACCAATAGAAATTGAGCTTACAATAGATCTAGTGGTCGAGAGCAAAATTTTCGAAGGAATTGTAGGTTGTTCTAAGGACAGAAGTTAGTACTCGTTAACATCATAAAGATTAAAAGAGAGCCAATATTAAGGGATACTTATCACATGATAGAAGGTTGAGGAGTTCGTGCAGTCCATGTTGAAAGACCTAAAATAACAAGGTGCTCTAGAAGGTATTTAGGATGACGATGATGATGAAGATTAGGAGTTTATTTAACTTTATTGAATTTTTTGTATATGTTGCCAATGATAACTACATCTGAGTGGACTATTATTATGACTGTTGAACTAAATTATTTTCTTTCATTGTCAATAAACTAACTTTATATTTGCATTAACTAAATTGTAAAATAAAAATCAAACATTTGTGAATGAGAATTCTTTCAATAGGAATATTTAATTAAATTGTATGGTTGAGAATTCGTATGAAATTGTTGTGGTTGTATAATTGAAATGATATGAAATTAAAATATTTACTTGATTGTTATCTCCAATTGCAAGTGCACAAATCATAAATGATGTAAAAATAAGGCTCTGAATTAGAGTATTTTAGATTGGTACTGACCACAAATTAACAAGTAGAATCCTGGTGGACGTACCTCAACTAATACATCAGGCCTTTATCCCACTACGTGGGGTCGTCTACATGAATCTTTTTTCTCCATTGTATCATGTTAAAAATCAAATTCTCGTTTAAATCTAATAAAGAAAGATCATTTCTAATATTTTCTAACCAAGTGTTTTTTGGTTTGCCTCTACCTTCCTAACTGGGTCATCGAAAGGCCGACGTTTTATGTGACCAAACCATCTAGGACGACTCTCTCTATTCTTTTCTTCCATTGGAGCTACTCCAACCTTTTCACGTATATGCTCATTTCGTATCTTGTCTCTAAGGGTAAATTCACTCATCCACCTGAGCATCCTCATCTATGCAACGCTTAACTTAGTATTATACTTCTCTTTTAATGGCCAACATTTTGCACCATAAAGAAAATGTTGTTGCCCAAATTATTGTCGCAAGTGATATTTGTGACTGCTAACGAATTTAGCTGTCACAAATTGTTTGCAACAAACAATGTAGGGACTGATTTTGAGACATTTGGTTAATTGGTTTGGTTGCAAACTAGGCTTTGAGAGAGAGTGATACTCGAGATAATGAGCATTAAAGTGATGAAGAAATTGTTAAGATATATAAAGTTTTAGATTAATCCTCACCTACAAACTCAAATTTTCAGGCTAAAAATGAATGGTATTTCGCCAACTTCTGATCTCCCTTTGGTTCACCCCATGCAACTCTCCAAAAAAAAACTCATGGGTGCAAAGGAACTGATAAAAGCTACTGCACAGAGCTCCAAAAAAAACTTATGTTCCTTTCAGAGATAGTGTTCTCTCTATGCTTCGCCCACTCCTTTATGCAGAGCACAAAAATACGCTGCAATAGTTTGAAGTTAGGAAAACTTTGATTTTTCCAGATTTATGAATATTCTGCTCTACCATTGAGCTAAGAAGATTTAAATCTGTTAACCAATCGTTACAGAATATGCTCAAGTGAAGAAGATTTAAATCTGTTAACCACTCGTTACAGAATATGCTCAAGTGAACATCCACCATTAATCCTACCAAAAGTGCCTGAAATAGGACTAAAAAAACCGCAAAAAGGGGTGCATTTCTGAATTCTAACCTGAAGAAGAAATACTTTTAGTTTCTGCAAACATCACTGGCCTTGACTGAACTAGTGGTATGTTTGTCTTTGGTATTCTGGATGTTGTTGCTGCAATGGAACATATTTGAAATGATTTACCCCAGAAGTCCGATTCATCTGAAGATAATCATTGTTATGCTGGAGATGACCGCCATGAAAATCATAAGGTTTTGCCTTGTTATGCCATTGATGAACATGATGAGGTCTCACATACGCCAAATTCCTTGACTCCATGGCTTTAAAGCCATGATATTTCGTCTGATAATTGCGGTCATGACCGCCATATTTCATATACAGAATTTTTTGTGAATTCGAATATTGCGGGTTACTAGCTTGAGCAGAGAAGACAGCCTGTTCAGCTGTTTTGGGCTTCCCCAAAATGCTCTGAGCTTGAGCAGAGAAGACAGCCCGTTCAGCTGTTTTGGGCTTCCCCAAAATGCTCTGAGGAGGATGTTGGAGAAATAAGACATGATCTATTTGGTCAGCTGTTTTGGGCTTCCCCAAAATGCTCTGAGGAGATTTTTGGAGAAGTAGGGCATGATCTATTTGGTGAGTGGTGGCAACACTAGTTACATTTATTTTCACCTCCTGTTCTTGTTTATGTTCCTTGTTATTCAAAAAATTCATTTGCTGAGCATCAGCGATCTTTGGATGCTGATTTTCTTTATCTGGCGGAATGTGATCATCTGTTAAATTCATCCTGCATATGGTATACGAAGACTTAGTGAAAACATAATTTGTGTGCATATTTGCATGTAATATCAGAAATTCACTTTATTGGTATGTCATTTTGTACGAGTGTAATCTGCCATATTTGATGGTGTTGCTGAACATGATGAGGTCGCACATACCCTGAATTCCTCGACTCCAAGGTTTGAAAGCTATGATGCACCTGATGATGGTGATCACGACCAGCATGTTGGAGAATACCATCCTTGTTTTTCAACATTTTATTTTGCTGAACATTAGCTTTATGTGGATGCTGATTTTCTTTGACTGCTGGAATGCGATCACCAGTTAAATTCTTCCTGCATAAGATATGTAAAATTTAGTTTGTGAAAATGGAAATTGAGTGCATATTTGCATGTAATATCAGCAACAACAACAACTTCAAGCTTTTATCCTACGTGGGATCGGCTACATGAATCTTTTTTCTCCACTGTCTTGTTAAGAGTCAAATTCTCATTTAGATAGTAAGTGAAAATGGAAATTGAGTGCATATTTGCATGTAATATCAATGTTCGACCTATTTAGATTTAAAGGAGAATTTGACTCTTAACGAGACACAATAGAGAAGAAGGATTCATGTAGCCGACCCCATGTAGTGGGATAAAAGTTTGATGTTGTTGTTGTATCAACGTTCAGCTTATTATATGCCATTCTGTACAAAAGTAATGCACTATACTTAAAGAAGATTTTAGGTTCATTTCCACAACAAAAATATTGCAAAAGCTTCCAGGTACCAGAACAAAAAAATTGCAATGCTTTAGTTTATTAGTATGCCATTTTATACAATAGTAATGTATTGTATTTAAAAAGGAATTTATGAACATATGATATTCCCACAACAAAAATATTGCAAAGCTTCCAGGTATGAGGTACCCAAGCCTTATGTTGAGGTAATGAATAAAAAATTTAAGTATTTTCTAAGTTTTATTTTACTGGGTTACCGCAAGCATGCCTGCGACAGTCTATCAAGAGGGCCAAATTTAAATGATATGAAAAATGAGTTAGGCGCTGAGCCCGAAATTCTTATGATGAGTACAAGTACTTCAGTGCAATATGAATAGCCTTAAAATTAAAGCCACACGAACTTCTTCCCATGATAAAATGTGAAGCACGCTGCAAGTCATAAATGAACTCCCTTACTTTCTAGTATATTCAAGATGAGAGCTTTTGAGTCTTTAACCTGGTGGCTAAATTCATAAAAATCTTAGCTCCGAAAACTTCATGGATTAGGAAATGACCATGAATCAAAACAAATAAATCTTGATATTACAGCCATTAACTAAGGCTTCATTTGGGACGGCTCTCAAGTTGCTTCTTAAAGCATTTTTCTAGTACAAAATTTTTTAATTTTTTTAAAAATTTGCTTTAAGAAGCAACTAAAAAGCCATCCCAAATGAAGCCTAAGTTAAATAAAAATCTAAATGTACCCTGGATAAAGAAAGCAAGAGAACTAGATAGTCTATTTACCAAGCCCCAAATCAGTCACTTGTAACCTATGAATATTCATTATATCTATCAAGTACCATGCATTAAGAGCTTACTTAGCAATGTGGATTGAACATGGGAATCATCCGCTCTTGAACTTTGCTCATTCATAGTGAATGACTTGTGGAAGCAGAAACCATGAACCAGTTGATCCCAACTGAACCACTAGTTATGCAAATACTTAATAGTGAGGATAAATGAAAGAAGGATCAGAGTTGGGGGCCTAATATTTTTATGTCAATATAGCCTAAACTAGTCAATATGTTACTAAATCTAATGCTTCATATCTCTTAATAGAATTGAAGACCAATTTCTTCTTAGTTAATTCATACTGAATGATTAAATTCAATTAAGACAATTCTACTTGAACCCAATCCCTATCATTTTAACACAAAACACAAACTTGAGGATTAATGTTGACTACACTATTGTTGAGATGTTCTATTTTTAGTTCACAAGAAATTCAAATGCATTCAATGTATGCTACTTGAGATTTATTCTATGCTTTAAGAATTTATTTACCTAAATAGCAATTGGAAGCATCACAATAAAATAATTTCATATTCACTACTGGATCATATAGAAACATTTTGAGCTGAATGTTAAATGCATATAATAGTATTGCATCTAAAAGTTGAACATTTTCCCTTTACGATATATATTACCTTTTAATCATCATTCCATTTGTCCTTTTTTCCTTCTCCTGTATCCTTATTTCTCTTGAATATCTAGCATGGGCGCCCCTTCCATGCTTCTCTTGCAACACTTTAAATCTTTCCCCTTCATCAACCCACCTCTGCAAATTAAAGAAATGAAACCAGTCGTTCAAAACTCAAAAGCAGAACAAAATTCAAATTTCAAAATCCAACCTGTCTCATTGTCTTAATCCTATAAAGATTCCTTCCCTTGATGAGAAGCTGACGAAGAGGTGGCAATGGTTTCTCTCCTTTGCTCCAAAGAACTTCAATCTACCCAACGATAAACAACCTCAAGTTTATTACCAAAAAAATTAGGAAGGAATGATAACAGATAAATTTAAGAATCTTACTGTGAATGTGTGTTGCTGCTTGGCAACACCATAACTTTCCTTTACAATACGACCAGCAACTGTCCTGGTGCCACATGGTGGACCAGTAGCACTCCTGGATGCGATGCTGAACCTGATTGTAAAAGTGGAAATACATTACTACCTTGAATGCTCAACCTTAAAACATAGTAGATCATGTCAAAGCTTCAGATAAGTAGCACTACATTTCATATACATTCTGTTCAAAGATGACCACATCTCCCAGACAAGCATCACCTAATTAGAGAACATCAATGAAGGAATTAGATAAGCAAAATATATGGTGAAGGGAAAATTTAGCATTAATTATGCCTGTTCATCTCAATATCTAGTTTTTATATTCAGGTCTCAATAGATGAGACCAGTTATATACCTTTGCAGTTAAGCACAAAGCTCTCTGGTGGATATTTCTTCTCCCCACAGCCATCAATGATCCTGAAATCATTCATACAGCGACTATAGAATTAGAATGTGAGGATATTGCTTCATCAATTTCCTCCTAGTTTTATATATACAGCTATGCAAGCATCCAATAACTCATACCAGCCCAAACTGGAATAATGGAGCTAGTGTTGCACAGAACAAATGCACCACAAGTGAAATATTGCAGGCAATGTTTTCTGTGTGGCATAAAATCTCTATACATAAATACTGAAGGAAAAGACAAAGAAGTGGCGAGAGTTTATACTCTTGGTGTTCTCTAATTCTGGAAATTAGGATTCCTTTGTTGCCTGTTAATCTCAAACCATACTTTCTCAGGTAGACCTTGCACTGATCAAGTGTAAGTTTCTCTAAATGGGCACCTGCTGCATCATTTATACAAATATTCTATTATTACCAGGAATGAAGAAAAGCTATTACACATGGAGAATAGGATTGCATAAGCTGAAAGCGGCGAAGAAGACGATGCAAGAAGAGAGACGCGAAGACAGAGAAATGGGAAGAAAAGGAATTGTATTAAGAATTTGAATCATACAGTTTACAGAATGTCTTTACTTAAATAGATACAGTAATGGCAGTAATGTAAATAACTAATGTTGTTCGCTCAGAGCCTCCCTCAAATTAATCATTCGGATCTTGAATGGTTAATTTGCGTCGAAGTTCTTGAAAGCGAGCAGGAATAAAGGATTTGGTGAAGATATCGGCAATTTGATCCGTGGATGGAATGTGAGCGAGACGGATGCTGTCCGTGTTGAGGTGATGCCGGATAAATTGATAGTCGATCTCAATATGTTTTGTTCTTGCATGTAAGATCGGATTTTTGGCGAGATCCATTGCCGATATGTTGTCGCAATGTATTGTTGTTGGTACGGTTTGAGTAATGCCAATTTCTTCCAGTAGTCTTCGGAGCCAGATGACCTCGGAGGTAGCCGCCGAGAGTGCTCGGTATTCTGCTTCTGTAGAGGACTTGGCTACCGTTACTTGTTTCTTTACGGTCCATGAAACAAGTGTAGGTCCCAAGAAGGTACAGTAACCTGAAATCGACTTGCGATCCATCGAGTCGGCGGCCCAATCCGCATCGGTGAAGGCTCGGAGAGTGAGATCGCCTGATCGGATAGGAAGACCATAAGTGACAGTGCCTTTTAGATAACGAAGAAGGCGTTTTAATGCTTGATAGTCAGCATTTGAAGGTTGATGCATGTGCTGGCAGAGTTGATTTGTTGCATAGGCGATGTCAGGCCTTGTTATGGATAGATACTGCAAGGTTCCGGCAATGCGACAGTAGAAAGTTGGATCGGAGTACGGGAGGAGATCCGGTGCTGGTTGTTTGTTTTTGAGGGTGCTTGGCGTGGAAGCAGGTTTACTGTCTTGCAATTTGGTCTCCCTTAGGATCTTCTCAGCATAATGTTGCTGAGTTAGGAATAAGAAGTCAGGTTGTTGTATGGTTTGAATGCCTAGGAACAATGAAATTTCTCCTAGTTGCTTTAAAGCAAAATTGGATCTGAGCTCGGTAAGCAATTGCTGGATAGTTAATTCGTCGTTACCTATGATAAGAAGATCGTCAACATAAATGAGGAAAAATATTTGGATATTGTTTTGTTTGAAAATTAGAAGCGAGGGGTCGGAGCGACTGAACCTGAAGCCGTGTTTTTGAAGAAATTGAGTTAGTTTTTCATACCATTGGCGGGGTGCCTGTTTAAGGCCGTATAGGGATTTCTGAAGTTTGCATACCAGATCGGGTTTGGTGGGATCGTTGAACCCGGGTGGTTGTCGCATGTAGACGTCGTCAGGTAAATCTCAGTGCAAGAAGGCATTGGAGACGTCTAATTGTAAGATTGACCATTTGCGTTGCACAGCCAGCGTGAGCAATATACGAATTGTTGTCATTTTAGCTACCGGGCTAAACGTTTCTGTGTAGTTGATGCCTAGTTGTTGATTGTAGCCGAGTGCTACAAGTCGTGCTTTGTAGCGATCTATCTTGCCATCGGATAGATTCTTTATCTTGTAGGTCCACTTGCAACCGAGAATTGGTTTATTGGGCGGTGGTGTTACTAGAGTCCAAGTACCTTGTTTCGTCAGTGCTTCAAATTCCTCAAGCATAGCCTTCTGCCAATGATTAATCTGGGCTGCTTGTTTGTAATTGCTCGGCGTGTCCTGTAAGGAGGTAGAACTAACAAGAGAAAATATTCGTTTCGGTTTAGAGATTCCATATTTCAGTCGAGTAGTCATGTGGTGTGATGGTTGCTGTGGGACCGGAGGGAACGGTGCTGTGGGTGAGGTGTGTATAGGATTAGGAATTATTTGGTCTGGAATTGCTGCACTGTGTGGTGAGTGTTGGGTTGTGAGAGATGGTGAGGTAATATCAGTTTGCTGGTTGACAGAGGATGTAATAGTGGAGACGGGTGTGAGGAGGTAGGGTGATATGTGAGTGGGAGTAGTAGCTGTCGTCTCTTGTGGCTGAGACTTGAGGTTCTTGTAAGGGAATATGTGCTCATGAAATTCAACATGCCTTGAGATGTGATTCTTGTGTGTGAGAAGGTTGTAGCATTTGTAACCTTTGTGTGACGTCGAATAACCGAGAAAGACGCATTCATGTGACCGAGGTGAAAGCTTGTTGGGAGCATAAGGGCGGAGCCAAGGGAAGCAAAGGTAGCCGAATGTGCGTAGAAAGGTATAATTGGGAGAACGACCGTGCAGGCGGTGAAAAGGAGTGTCGAGATTAATTGATTTAGAGGGGAGACGGTTGATGAGGTAGTTAGCGGTAGACAGAGCTTCAGCCCAGAACGTGTTGGGAACATTGGAGGCGTGAAGTAGAGTACGGGTTAGTTCCAGGAGATGACGGTGTTTGCGTTCAGCCACCCCATTTTGCTCGGGAGTGTGCGGACAACCGAGTTGTCGTTGAATGCCGTGTGTATGGAGAAAGGTAGTGAATTCGGCGCTAGTGTATTCGCCGCCGCCATCGGAGCAAAGTGTTTTCGGGGTCGTGTTGAATTGAGTTTTAATTAGTTTGTAAAGCACCTTAAATTTGGAAAAGGTTTCTTGCTTCGTATGCATTGAGTAGAGCCAAGTAAAACGGGTGTAGTCGTCGGTGAATAGAACGTAGTAACGCGAACCATCTGTAGAAGGAATTGGGGCTGGTCCCCAAACGTCTGTGTGCAGTAATTCAAAGGGCGAAGTAGTAGTAGAAACAATTTTATTAAATTGTAATTTGTGACTTTTGGAAACACTACAAGAAATACAATGTAAAATGCTAGAGTTATTCTTAATGTCTGGTATGGCTTGAGACAGAACAGAAAGTATGTGGCGGTGGGGATGGCCAAGGCGGTCATGCCAAATCTGGGCGTTGGTCCTGCTTGCGTGTAGAGCTGCTGGTGCAATGTCTTGCCTGTTTGGAATTTTGTAAAGGCCGTCACGAAGGTTGCCACGAAGAAGAGGACGACGTGCCTGAATATCCTTGATCACAAAACCATTCGCATCAAATTTTACGGTGACAGGATTATCAGCAGTTAATTTGAAAACTGAAAGAAGATTTTGAGCTAAAGAGGGAACGTGAAGAATCTTGCGTAGATGAAGCTTACGAGGTGTTTCGGGTAGAGGTAAGAGACCCTGACCGGAATTTTGGATTGGCACAGTTGAACCATTTGCTATTGAGACACTATCTGCCCCGGTGTATGAGTGAGGGTACTGAATATTGGAGATGTCCGGTGTGAGATGAGCGGAGGCGCCTGTGTCCAAGATCCATTCGGAATTTGTGTTTTTCGGTTGTGCTTGGAATGCTTGCGGAGATCTTGAAACAGTTGGGGCGAATTTGAAGTTACATCTGTGCTAGCAGTTGAGTGCTATATGGCCGGTCTTGCCACAAATTTGACAGGTAGGCCGTGAGTTGGTCGCTGCAGCTGGGTGTGTCGTGACTGGTGGGGAGGGGTTTTGATATTGCTGCTGAGATTTGTTCTTGATGAACTTTTTCTGTGTTCTGCCTTTCGTGGGATTGTAGTTGCTGGAGTAGAGGGCGGTGTTGCTCGCGGTAGAGGCGGAGTCTTTGGCAAGTTCTTGACTGACATTTACCTCTTCGCTGCAGAGCATGGAGTAGAGGTTGTCAAGATCGAGCGCGATGGGATAGGTGCGAATTGCTGCTTTGAACGGATTGTAGGAAGCTGGTAGTCCGTTAAGAATGTGAATGATGATATCTTCCGGGTCTAAAGTGGATCCGGAGGCCGCAATGTTGTCGACAATGGTTTTGATTTGTGTTAGATATTGCTGCATTGTGAGGTTCTTCATTTGCACGTGGTGGAGTTCGTTCTTTAATTGGATGACGCGAGAGCGACAAGTAGGTTGAAGTCTTCGTTCAAGAACTTGCCAAACGTCTTGGGCAGTGGTGGAGGATATGATGTAGGGAAGTATAGCAGGTGATATTGTAGAGAATAATGCAGAAAGGAGGTTGGCATCTTCAAGTTTCCAGCGGAAGAAGTCGGGAGAAGTTGTATCAATCGGAAGCGGAGAGGAACCGGTGAGATGTCCGGCATACCCGTTGGCGGTGAATTGTTGAAGAACCTGAATGCGCCATATAGCATAGTTATCAACGGTGAGGGATTGAGGAATTAGATTCTTGATGTTTGATATGAGGAACTTGAGTTGTGGTGGTATGATGATATCGGTGTTCGTGGGTTGGCCGGAGAGAGGGGAGGAGGTGGTCGGATGAGTGTTGGTTGATTCTTGATCAGCCATGGAAGGCTCTGATACCATGAAAGCGGCGAAGAAGACGATGCAAGAAGAGAGACGCGAAGACAGAGAAATGGGAAGAAAAGGAATTGTATTAAGAATTTGAATCATACAGTTTACAGAATGTCTTTACTTAAATAGATACAATAATGGCAGTAATGTAAATAACTAATGCTGTTCGCTCAGATAAGCAACATGATCCATAATCTACGCAGAGAAGTTTGGGAGACAATGGTGAAGCATTCATTAAACCTCGATGTTGGTCATTTGCCATTTAACTCATTAGCAAACTTCTTTGTAGCTGTATTTCTTGGCCAAGGCCATAAATCAAGGACCGTGGTCAGTTTTTGTTATTATATTCATTGTGCATCCCGGCCTCTCGAAGAACTAGGTACCCATCACAATCGAACCTAAACCAATCCTTGCTGTCTTTTCCCCATGATCATCTAGTCAGGCTAGTTTTCTTAGTTCAACTAAAAACTTAAGGACCTCTTTTGCAAACATAAAACCTCGGATGAGGCAGTAACAAACGAGGCCTTCAAAAATATGAGAAGCCTTAGGATGGAGGGGGAGAAAAAAACCAATAGCTTGCCTTGTTAAGATTTGTTTGATTCCTAAGTGAGATTACACATGGTTAAGTGAGGAGGACAAGCCCTGGATGAAAGCATGATTGCATCTGCACAGCTTTCAGACTGGCGTCTTGATAATCCATTGAACAATAGCTATAATAAAAAAACTATTTAAATTCCAGCTAACTAAAAATATGCCAATAATTTCCCTATTTATCCAAAAAAGAATGCTAAGCAGTCTTGCAATAGCTCCTATTGATCCACAGGTTCTGATAAACAAATTTCAACTGATAGATGAACTGTTAAATGAAACCCAAACAGACCTTTGATAAGCTGTTCAACCATCTCAAAGGATTTCTCATCCTTCTTATCCAGCTTGGGGATCTCATCCCCCACAGTTTCCCTCTCGGATTCACTCTCCAAGTTGCCATCAACAATTTTTGATCTCCTGCTGAAACCCAAAACACTCATTTTGCTAAAGATTATTAGCTTCTCAATCTGAAGATTACAATAACACAAAACAAGAACTAACCTGGCTCTAGGTTTTCTTATGGAGAGCTTGGATATAGCAGAACGGGTTTCCTCCACGATGCCGAAAGAGGGATCGTCGTCAGAATCATCCGCACACTCAAACTCATCGGATCCGGACTCGTCTTCCATCTCGCAGCGGTGTTCTTGAAAAGCTTCGTCTAAAGCCATTGAATCCATTGTGAAGAAATATCCGTAATGCTCTCGGTTCAATGTATTAGGTTGAGAGGTAAAGAAGGCCGGCGGCAGAATTAGATGACCGTTAGGCGCTGGGCTTTTTTTATTAATAAAAATTCAAATGTCGCCGCCACCTTGTGACAGCGTACGAGAGGCAAAGAGAGAAGCTATAGATTTGATAAAGACTGATGTTCACACAAAATTAATTCAGAGTACTACTCCGAAAGCTTCTTCGATGTAGAGCAAGGCATGTAAGTCTGATCCAGACACTATGAGAGCGGTGACTACGATAATACGAAAGAACCAACGACAACCAAGGGAAAGTAGCATCATTATCCCAATTCAAGAGCCCAAACGTGAGCATATATCTCGTATCTAGGTGCTCAAAGACTGTCTCTGATAGAAGGGATCAACACTAAAGTCACAATACGAGGTTATGACCAAAATCTTGAACTGTACACATCAATTCGATTTTGTACTAAGGTGGTCTGTAATACTCGATACTCACGAAAATGGATCTGCTGACCATGCACTGAATCATCCAACGGTAGCCCAAGGATCACTGCGAACTCCGACATCATATATAGGTCACCTTCATACAACGTAGCAACGACACGTGTCATTACCGACTGTAAGGTATTCAATATCGATCCGTTTACACTTAATACACAAACTCATCTATTGCGTCTCCTCTAAGAGCCATAGGTAGTTCATGCACGCCTATTTACGAGCATGTTGTCTAGCTTTGGTCACGATAAAAAGATCCATAATACATAGATAGGCTCCAAGTCATTTCTCATAAGAGGGAGGCCGAAGCTAAGTAGCAGAGAAGAAGAGATGATGGAGAGAGGTAGATCTATGCTCTCGCTCACGAGCCAGAGTGACTTAGACCGGTCAAAAGAATCAATACTTGGGAGAACGACGGGCCAGAGAATTATCAGAGTGGACAGAAAAATGAACGTGGAAAACAACAAAAAACCAACAAAAAGCCCCAGATAATAAATCTAAAAACCCCCCCCCCCCCCCCCCCCCCCCCCCCACACACCGACCACCGCGCGCACCACGCAAAAGTCCCACCGAACACCGCAGGAATCCTCGCCGGACCACCGCAGGAACCTCGCCGGACCACTTAACCAAAACCCTCGCCGGATTTCATTGCACCCTTGCCTTAAGGTTCCGTTCCATCCCCTACGTTCTGTTGAAGACCCGACGTCCCTGCTTAGGCCCGACGTTCAAATCCTAACGATCCTGTTGAAGACGCCGACGTCCGCTTAAGGCCCGACGTTCAGTCCTAAAACGTCCTGCTAGAAGACTCGAACGTGCCTGCCTTAAGGCCGACGTTCAGTTCCCTATGACGTTGCTGAGAGACTCGACGTCCCGCTTAAGGCCCGATGTTCAATCCGACGTCCTACTTAAGGCCGACTTCAGGGACCCGACGACACTACCCAAGGCCAGACATAAAACACCCGATCTTCAAAGTGAAACTGGGTCTAACACCTGACTTCCTTGTCTCCTACCGCCTACGGTCCTTCTGACAACTTCTGTCGCCTACTACGGTCCGTCTAACCAACATAACTAGAAAACGTCTTTCAGAAACCCCAGTTTTCTATCGACTACGGTCCTTCAGGCCTTCGTCGCCTATAGGTCCTTTATGACCTCCATCAACAAACAACAGTTTTCTGACACCCGGTTTCCTGCCGATTACGGTCTCTCTGCCCCACTACGTCCTTTCAGGCCAAACAAACATGTATATGTACTCCCTCCAATGTTAAGGCAATCTATAGTCGATGTACATTTGCTACATCAATCCAATGCCCCTTCTCCCAAGGAAGGGCCTCATTTGTAATCGACATGCAAATACTATGGATTCATTCAACTGGGGCCAGGCCCCGTGGTTTTTGGGGTTTTCCACGTAAAAACTTGTGTCTCTTAGAAATGCGCTACACCTCTCACTTATCTGTATTGTGTGCTGGATCTTCGTAACAAATGCTAAGCGTTAAAATAAATATCTCTACCGTCGCGCATACTCTAGGACGCACAGTTTGGTCCGTCTGTGGGAAAGCTGATTCCCCGGACGTAGGGGGCAATATGCTTCTAATTTTCAAGATCACACATGCATCAATATCATAAGAAGCATAATGGCGGATTGGGTGGGCAAACTTTTGAACTCAAACCAATGGTTCAAATGACCTCCAATACCCTTCAACATCAAGTTGAATAATTATCCAGGAATATTTCCAGCGAATGCAAGGATACTTCCAAATCATTCGCATAACAAGTCCTTGTTGGACTTCTAACTCCTTGGCATGGTCTTAACCTCGAACCTCAGAAAAGGTAGTAAACGGTCCCAAAAATAGACCCTTCATTATCTTTGATATCCGGTACACGCGGCATTCGCCCCCTCCATCCGCAAAATCGATCCCAGGGGGATCCGATTGACCTCTTCCAACATAGGTTAACGTCGTCGAGCAAGAGGCTCCGATATACCACCTCGGAAAGGGTCCTCATCCTTGGGGGATTCCTCCGACCTCTTCCACATCAAGTAACGTCGTCTGAACAAAGGCTCCGACATACAACTCGGAAAAGGTCTACAATCCTTGGTGGATTTTCCCGACCTCTTCCACACAGGTTAACGCGTCGAGCAAAGCCTCCGACAGTACAAACCTCGAAAAGGTCCTCACATCCTTGGTGAATTCTCCCGGCCTCTTCCACACAGGTTTACGCGTCGAAGCAAAGCCTCTGACATACAACTTCGGAAAGGTCCTACATCCTTGGTGGATTCTCCCAGCTCTTCCCAACAGTAACGTCGTCGAGCAAAGACTTCCGACATACAACCTCGGACAAGGTCCTACTGCCTTGTGGAATTCTCCGGCCTCTTCCACACAGTTAATGTCGTCGAGCAAGAAGGCTCCGACATAGAACCTCGGAAAGGTCTCATATCCTTAGTGGATTTCCGCGAACCTCTTCCACCAGGATAACGTTGTCAGAGCAAGGGCTCCGGCATACAACCTTCGGAAGAAGGTCTCAATCCTTGAATGGATTGCTCCCGCTCTCTATCCACAATCAAGGTTGAACGTCGTACGGCCAGGGACTCCAGCTTACACCGGAAAAGTCATCACATCCTTGGTTAACCGTTGCCAGGCAGAATGTCGTGCAAAGTATTAGACTGTATAATTGCATCCTGACTTCTCTATAAATGTTAACAATTCTAGCCAAGATTTTGAATTCCTGCCTGGCGCTGACTTTTTGCCTTGCAGGACTTTCGACGGGATAATACCAACGACAGGGTCCGCTGTGGAAATACTTCCGTCATCGGCTAACACCCGTCAATCGAGGCTTCCTGCATGGATTCGTCGACGGAACTTGGTCGTTGGTGCACTTCTGACCGCGACACATTACTACGTCTACCCGACGTCCCGGGTATTTGATGCCTCGGTACAGCGGATTATTACTCCGACGTCGGGACACTTCTGCTCGTCAGCGGAGCTTCACGGGATACCTCAACATCCGGACTTCTGGCTTCGTACTAGCAGACCTTCTACCCAGACGTCGGACTTCTGCTCGATACAGCAGGACTTCTACACTCGACGTCGGACATTCGCTCGTTAAGGGCGGACTTCTAGCCGCGACGTCGACTTCTAACTACGTCAGCAGACTTCTTACTCGAGTCGGACCTTCTGCTCGTGTAGCAGACTTATACTCGAGCGTCGGACTGTCTGCTCGTGTAGACAGAACTTCTACTCGTCGTCTGGGACAGCTCACTTGCACTGCTCGTGCAACGGTACCTTAACGTTGGTTTCTAACTTGAGCCTCGCAGCCCTAACCCGGACACGGACTTCTAGCACTCGAATCCAGTCAGACTTCCTGCTCGTGATAGCGGGACTTCTACTCCGTCATCAAAACTTCTGCCCGATCGACGAGAACATTTCATATCGATCTACCCGAGGCCCGTGAACATTCTACACGACGGTCAGAGCTGCTCCTGTCGGTCGAACTTCTGCTCGTCAGCGCACTTCTACTCGTCGTCGGACTTCATTGCATCGTCGCAGAACATTTCATCGGTGTTCTAGCCCCAGAGTCCGGTCGACTATCTAACGCACTGACGTCGGACCTTCTCCCTGTTGTCGTACCACTTGCTGCTCGCCAGGTCAGCAGTACATTCTCAGGTGTTACGGATCGTTAGCTACCACGGTTAGAGATGCTGAGAGCTTGGTCGTGCCGGTCTTCTGCCGCGATGCTGTATGGACTACGCCGACGTTGAAGTTCCTACTGTCATCAATATCCTCTCACTCGACTTGAGTCGTATGGCCCGTGCATTTCAACCTCTCTCCTTACAACGGCTCTCCGACCTCCATCTCCAACCAACTGTCAACATCGAGAACCTCCGTAGGATCTCTCCGAAGAAGAAGGGGGGAAGTCTCCCGGACTCTCCTTTGCAGAGAGAAGGGCTTGGAAGACCAAGGAAGACACCATCAAATTGTGAAGGGACAAAGGGAGAAGAGAAGAAGGGGAAATCTCCGGACTTCCTCGCCAGAAGGGCCATCGAAACAACTCGAGGGGAAGGACCTCAATAGCAAGGAACATTGTAAGGGAGAGAGAAAAGGGGAAATCTCCCGGACTTCCTCGCCAAGAGAGGGACCTCGAAAAAATCAAGGGAGGCCCTAAACAATAGCAAGGATAGAGGGAGAAGAGAAGAAGGGGAAACCTCCGGACTTCTCGCAAGAAGAGGGACCTGCCACTCGAAAAATCGAGGGAAAGGCCTCAATAAGCAAGGAAGAGGGAGAAGAAAGAAGAAGAAGAGGAAGAAAGAAGAAAGAAAAGAAGAGAGAGTGAATTTTCGTTAAGGCTCAAGGCCTTAATTTATAGTCTTGAAGGAAAGGATGAGGTTTTTAATTTTCTGAATTTTTTTCAGAATTTTTTTTAGAATTTTTTGATATTTTTTGGGAGATCAAACGGTCCCAGATTAAATTTTTCAAGGAGGCGGGGCCCCCGCAGCCTAAACTGCCTCATATGGCGGTGGCTGCCAAGAGGCGCGGCCAAAGAGGCGTTGC